AAAAACATCCACGTGATTGGTTAATTTATAGTACATTCAAACAAACATTACATTGCTTTTCTTGTTTATTATTTAATGATAAACTTACTGCGCCAATAAAAAACCGAAGCGTTTTAACTAAAAGAAGCGGGTTTTCTCCAAAAATAATACCCTGAAAAAAGTTATATAATAGGCTTCCATTACATGAAAATAGTGAAACACATCGTACTTGTTATTCTATGTGGAAAAATTTACAACAGTCTTTGCTAGGTTTTGGAGTAGATAGTCAATTACAAAAACAAATTCTTAGTGAAACAGAAAAATGGAAAGCTATCTTAAAAAGGCTTCTTGATGTGACTTTATTCCTAGCTTCTAGAGGATTGCCTTTTCAAGGCAGTAGCACTAAAATTGGTGACGTAAATAATGGTAACTTTCTTGGCGTATTAGAACTTCTTGGACGTTATGATGAAATAACAAGAGGGCATTTAGCATACGTTAAAGAATATCAAAATGAAGGTGAAAGTATGAAAGGAAGGACCCATTATTTATCTTGGATGAGTCAAAATGAATTTATTTCCCTTTGTGGTGATAAGGTTTTAAAACATATTCTCGAAGAACGAACTGAATCAATATATTATTCAATTATTGCTGATGCGACCCCCGATGTTTCACACCAAGAACAGAATGTTTTAATTTTAAGATATGTTTTTCGTAATAAGGAGACAAAACAATTTGAAATTCAAGAAAGATTTATTGAGTTTTTGAACTTTAATGAAAAAACAGGTGAAAGTATTGCTACTATGTTATTAGCAGCATTAGACCGTCATAAAATTCCATTACCAGATTGTCGAGCCCAAGCGTATGATAATGGTTCTAATATGAGTGGGAAAATTAAAGGAGTACAAGCTCGAATTTTAGAAAAAAATAACATTGCTTTTTATTCACCTTGCAGCGCTCATTCTCTTAATCTCGTTGGTGTTAATGCAGTAAAAATAAATTCAAGAATTAAAACTTTTTTTGGATTTGTACAAAGCTTATTTGTAAGTTTTAGTAGCAGTCTAGCAAAATGGAATATCTTAAGTGAAAAGGTTGGTGTATCATTAGAGTCTCAGTCTGAAACACGGTGGAGCTCCCGCGTTTCAGCCATACGCCCAATTGTAAACCATCTTCCTGGTATTTTAAAATCATTAAATAGAGTTTTAACTGAAATTAACATGCCAGACAAAATGTATAGTGAAATAATGGCTTTAAAAAAATATTTTTCATCATTTGAATGCATAGCCATGGCTAGTTTTTGGTTTAAAGTACTTTCTTCAATAAATGAACGGAATATTATTATTCAGTCTAGAGGTATATCTCTGGAAGTTGAAATTGATTTAATAAAAGATTTGATAAATTAATTGAACAATATTAGAGATGAATGGCCTACAATTTTAAATGAAGCTAGTTTAGTGGCAAACAATTTGAACATTATACCAAATTTTCCTGAAGAAGAAAGGAGAGCAAAAAAAAGGAAAGTATTTCATGATGAAGTTCAATCAGAGACTATTATTCAACCTAATAAAGCAATTGTAGCACAAGATTCTTTTAAGAGGGATGTTATATTTAATAGTATAGATGTTATTATAACCGACTTGACCCACCGCTTTGAAGTACATAAAAATCTTTGTAACCTGTTTTCCCCTATTTTATGCTATATGAAGTTATCTTGTGAAGAACTTGAAGTTAACTTAAAAAAAATGATTGAAATATATCCTAATGATTTATCGCCTAATATGTTAGATGAATTATTTCATTAAAAAAAAATTAATTTATCAGTTTTTCAAACAGAAATCGAAATATCGCCACTAAAACTATTAAACGAAATTTATGCAAAGAAATTAGAAACTATTTTTATAAATACTTCTGTTGCTTTAAGAATATTTTGTACACTACCAGTAACAGTCTCTGAAGCAGAAAGAGCTTTTAGTAAATTAGGAAATCAGCTTAAGACTTGGCAAAGGGCTTCAATCGGCCAAGATCGACTTAGTTCCCTTGCACTTTTATCAATTGAAAACAAACTTGCATCAAAAAATAACTTCGATGATGTTATACATGATTTTGCCAAAAAAAAGCAAGAAAAGAAAAATGTAATTAATATGAAATTTAAGTTTAAAATTAAATTATGATATTGTCTTAAAACAAAAATTTTTACTATACGAGTATGTATCTAATTATTTACAATGTACAAAGATATTTTTGAGTTTGCATAATTTACTTATTAATGTAATAATATAATAATACAAAAGTATGTAATCAATAATTTTATAAAAAATTTTATATTAAACTGCAGTAAATTAGTGTATATATGTTTAAACTTTATTTGATAGAGGTATAACAGCGAAACAAGCTGTGAAACCCAATATTTTAGGTACCTTTTGTACAAATTAAAATTAAATGTTAGAATTTATATTGAAATAACTATATATACTATTATACTAATATACATTATTAATTGAGGGCCCGGATTTATTTACAGTACCGTAGTTGAAAAATGCATGTGGGAGGCCTGATTATGATTACAAAATCTATATGCATAAAAGAAAGTCAGGTTATTTACAGAATTTATAATTCAAAAACGGCTGAACCAATTTCGATGATCTCTGATTTGTTAGATTCTTCTCCGTACAAGAATAAAAATAACTTTAATCTTGGCAAGAATACAGACAATTATCTAGATAAGTAAAAATTTTATCTTAGATAAGTAATTAGATAACTTAGCGTTATTTATCTAGATAAGATAAAAGATGACAAAAAATCTATCTAGATAAGTCCGAACACTGAAGATAATATTATATGTAGTATTCTATACTCTGTAATCCATATCCATAAGATAAGAAAAAATTGTTATTTGTGTGACACAAGTTTTAATTTGTAATAACGTATATTGCATATTTCCGAAACGAATAGTTTTAAATTAACTAAATTCAATATTTTTCCGCCATTACTCAATTTTTTTCGCATACCCCTAGAGGTACGCGTACCCCCGGTTGGAAACCGCTGTTCTACTTTTTGACTAGCCCGATTTCCATACGTACTTCACTTTATTCACTCCAAAACTACACACATCTTGATGAGACCAAATTTCATCTGATTTCTGAATAGTCACAATACTCACAATTTCAGTTAAGACTACATTTCACTAAAATTAACAAATAGCCACCTTACGACATCAAATAATCATAAAGTTGCCATTCTTGCTTGACGGTTACGGACGAATGTAGCTATTTTGAATCATAAAACTCCTGATCCGAATGTTGAATTTACAGCCACCACAAGGGACGTACAAGTCATAGAACTTGTTCCTTACCCACGTTATTTATGAGTTTATAAATACACATAATATTAGTATTTTAAAATTCGTTTTAGAAGGGGTGAAGAGGCGATTGAAGAGACTAAAACAAATCGTTATGGAAAAATATGTATTCTTTAGTAATTATTAAGTTCATTAAAATAAAAAAAATCAATACATTTAAATTGTATTTTATTTGCTAATTGTTTTAAGAATATTTTTATGTGTATTTTATGTATACTACGTAAAAAATACTTTTTGTCATCATCAAATAAAATGGTTTAGGAATAAAATATGAATCATATTTTAATTTAAATATTTTATTATTATCTCTATATTCGTAAATATAAACGAAATACCACTCACTCACTAATAATCGCTAAATATCAATAACGCAGATTGTATGAACTTGCAATTTGACATAATGTTTCTATTAGCACCCATTTTGAGTTAAAAAGAGGTAAATATGAAAAAAAATTATAATCGTATATTTTTTAGTTATAAAAAAAAAACCGTATAAAAAATCTTGAATCTGATTTTCAAGTTTTAAGTGAAAATATTGAATTTTATGAATTTTTCAACAAATATAGTACATTTTCGTGATTTTTATCATTTTGTAAAAATATTATATATGGTAGGAAAATGTACAGCCTGGACCATAGACTTTGAAAATGTATTTAAATGTTGAATAATTATAAATCGTACCATATAAATCCTGTATATAGCCACTAATTTTATTCTATATAAGTAAAAGTTATTCTTAATAAAAATTTTTGTTTTAACATCTAAGAGCAATATAATTTTTATGTATCCTTAACATTTATTAATAAACTATTAATGAAATCAAAATTGTATGCGAGAATTATAATGTATATTATATTATACTGCAATAGAAACATCAAAAAACTAGTATACATGAAACTGATATTTATATAACTGATATAAGCTTGTTGAATTCTATTCAGAATAGAAAAGATTATTTTGGATTTTTTCGTCCAAGTTCTGAATACTGATTCATTATCATTTGTTTGAGAATTTAGGAAAAACAAAATTATACACTTACTTCTTTGGTGTAAAAATTGAGTTTTCTTCATATTTCATTATTCTGAAGTATAAAATATATCTTTTTATACTCAAGAACTAAAAAATTATTTTCTTTTTTTTAACAATATTCTAAAATGTATAATAAATATTTATAAATACACCACGTGCATTATTATAACTGATAAGCAAATTTATTAAGAATGATTCAATATAATTTTGTTACAATTTTTCAGATATTACTTATTTTAAGTATTAAAATTAAAATATGTTGATAAAATAAAAATCTATTTTAATCAGTAGTTATACAACAAAATGATAAATCAGTCTTTAATTGTTTAATTTTAAACATTAATATTTAAATTTATCATTTATTGCTTATGTACTTTAAAATAAATAAAATTATAGACATTTATTATTAAGAAAATACCATTAGCATAAAATAAAAATTTAATTGTCACATTGTATGGTTTTAACATATTAATCAGAAGTAAATCCATAAACTTTTAGATTTCCAGTATCTCTTTTTCTATCAAATTGCTCTTTATCATCACATGCAAATGCCAATAAATACTGTTTTGGATGCCACGCCACTGTGAATGTTGCTGCTTCAATTGGGATATCAGTAATCTTAAAGAAAAAAAAATTTAAATAATAGTAATTTTTTTTTGAGTTTAAATTTTTAATTATTAAAATAAACAACTGAATACAAATGTATTGATTTCAATAGTAATAAATATCTAAAATAATTTCTTACTTTTTCTCCTGTTGTAACATCTGCAATGTCTACATACAAATCTTCACTGCCTGAAGCTAACATTTTACCATCATAAGAAAAACTTAAAGCTCGAACTGGCCAATCTAATCTTGATTTTTTTTTAAAAAAAAAGAAAACATTAGTTCCCAGAAATATAATTGTACAAGTTAAAAATATTGTTATATTATAATTTGTTTTACCAATAAAATGAACATGATATAAAAAAAAAGATTTACAAACTGTAAAGTGATTGCAAGTATTGACAACTTACAATTAAGTATAATCTATTGATAATATTATGTTATATCCTAATAAATTACCTGTTGTATGTTTGTACACAAGCTAAATTCTCAAGGTCCCATAAAGAGACAGAAGCATCTGCTGAACCTACAGCAAAATAATGACCACTTGGAGCAAATTCTATACAAATACATGTACCTGGATGAGCCTTAACTACATGTCGCTGAATCAAGTCTGGAAAACTGCATTAACATTCAAAAATTTAATATAAAAACAAATAATTAACACAAAATAGTTTTGTTAATATTTACCTCAATACATAAACACATCCTAAGCCATTTGTCAAAAAAAACAAATCATTTTCATTGTTCCATGACATTTCGTTCACTTCAAAGTTAAACTGTTGCTCACTAATTGGTTTTAGGATACGCATATCAATAAAAGTTATCAAGTCTTCCTTGTTACCAACAGCAATTGTATGACCATCAGGAGACCAAGTGATATTAATATTTTCTCCTTCAAACAAACAACAAATTTCAGTGGAATTGAAATATACTATGCAAGTTTTTAGTTTACCTTTGGTTAAAATAGTATTGGAACACTTTTGATGTCTCACATCCCATACTTTTACTGTTTTATCACCACTAGCTGTACTGAGTAAATCGGGATTAAACTTATGCCAGCATAACTGATCCACACTACCACTGTGGCCTTTATAAGTATATTCTTTGTTCTACACATAAATTAAAATAATTGTTACTTAATTATATATTTTATATTAAAAGGCATCAAAGCAAAATGTAAATTAAATAATCATGATTTAATAAACTATTATCAATATTAAACTTTTAACTTTATTCATTTTTATGAGACATAAAATATAAATACATACCGAAAATAAGTTATGACTTATTTTATAATTTTATAAATAAAAATAAACATGGTTAAAAAAAATTATACTTGTTTTATTTATGAATTTTTAATTTTAAATAAATATAATGATATATTTTGTTTTGTGAGCAATATATAATTTTGCTTTGACACCCATCAATATATTTTAAGTAAAAAATATAATTCACCTACCTAGATAACCGCATAACATTCTGGACTTAATATGTTAAAAAATAATAAACAATTATATAATGAACATTTTGCTATAGTAACATTGACAAACACAAAAAATGTAAAACAAACAATTACAGATTAAGTATTTAATATACACATTGTATAAGAAAAAAAACACTATACTTTGATAGTTTTCTTTTACATTTTACTAAAGTAAACTTGGATAAAATGATAATCAAAACTTAAGATGTTTAAGTTATAGAATACATAGTAACATAGAAAGTTAATAAATAAATATTAAGAATACATATGATTATAATATAATATTGGGCTTTTTTCAAACTTTAAAATCACCTTGTTTATCTTCAGGCAATAATTTTTAGTAAATTGTAAATCAGGTATAATTTATTATATGCTAAATTTGTCAACGTAAATCTGGATCTGAAAAAAACTATTTAAGCAATTGATGTGTTAGAAAGCTAAAGTAATTGGATAAATTATGGTATTCATTCTATATAGAAAAATTTTTCAAAAATGAAAATTTACTCTATTAATAATTAAAAAAAATGTATTTACTTATATATATTTATTGAACTATTAATAAATAAATGTATTTAATAGACACATTTTGCTTTGATAACCTTTGTATGATTAAATTAAATAAGATCATTTTTGGTAGGTAAAACTAAGTTTAATGAATCATTAAAATTCAATATAAGTTCAACAACTTTTGATCAACAAAATACAACTTTTATTACTAAAATACACTACAAATTAAATAGGTATATATATTTATTTTTTTGTTATAATGAATAACAATAAAAAAAACATTCTATTTAACATACAATTTGTCTATCGGTCTATTAAAAGAACAACAAACCAAAGCCCCATTGACTTTTATTTGATACAATAGAATCATTATTGGAATAACACACAGGTAAACAATAATTAATTTCTAAGCGCATTAAATTGTTGATATTCAATGCAAAGCCAGCTCCACATGATAATCGAATGTTGTTGATCAATCCTCGAAGGTCTTTGGTCAAATTTCCATCACGATTCCCAACATTACCAGAATTCATAAATAAATGTATCCTTATTAAATGTGACAATTTATTTTTTTCTGATAAAAATGGAAGTGGTGTATGAATATGAAAATTGAACCTCCAGTACATTGATGAACCAGTTATGCTACCATCTTCTTTCTTACCTACACCACATTCTTCAAATCCTCTGAATGTAAGTGGTCCACCAAGATAGAAATTATCTAAAATACTGGATTTTCCAAATGTATCTAATACTCCAAATGAAAATGATCCAGTAAAAGCTGAAGCCAAGATTGTGGTAAGTGTATATTGAAGGAACAGTTCATTTTTTAGGAATTCATGGCTACCACCAATTCCAGCGATTTCCGAAATCCATTGAACAAGAGATCCATAACTGGGAAAAACGGAATTATCACGAGTATCATAAGAAGCTGTAACTTTAACAGATGACTTCATTGTAAGGCCCAACTGTTCCCGTATACCAAATGGAGTATTTTGAGCATAGTTCAGTTCTCTAGCCACTCCTTCCCATCCAAAATTTACTTTAAAATATTCATGGCTTAGGTTAAACCCAGTATTTACACCATACTCATCAAATGAATATCCAAATTTATTTCTATTATAATGGTTCTTGAAAACTGTTGCATAAAAATATGGATTAAAAAGAGCAAGTAATGGTTTCGTAAAACAAATACTACCAGTAGAAAATTTTTTGTCAGTTGAATATATATCAGATACTACATTTAATTTTTCTCCGCGGCAAAATAAGTTCAAAAAAGATATTCCAGTTGATAATTTAGGATCAGGATTATTATCAAAATGAGCATCTGATAAAAGTTTGACATGTCCTTTAACCCTGTTTGATTCTTGAACTTTAATGGTAACATAATATCTGTCCTGTCCATCAACATTATCAACATCTAGATTTGCTGACACATCGTTGAAACAATCTAACTGCATAAGATTTCTTTTAGCTATTATGGTCTTAGAAATTACATCACCAATAGACTCGGAGTCAAAAAGACATTCTGTAGCTTTTTTAACAATATCGTCTTTTGTTCTTTTCAATCCTATAATATCTACACGATCAACCCTAATAGGTTTCGTTTTTATTAAGCTAGTGGTATCCAAAACCATGATTATTTCAATCAAAACTCACAGATAAATTAAGAAGGAAAAAATATAGTTGTAAATATGATCTAATTTCTCACCAGACGTTCTTTATCCAAAGTAAATGTGGCCACTGACTTATCGAACGAACACGATGCTAGACGTTTACCGTCACAACTCCAACCAACGGAATGCACTTTCGACGAATGCGCTTGGAATTCTTTGACAGATTTGTGCGATTTGAAATAATCTTTCAATTCGTTTGCATCGACGTTAAAATTTTTCCAATAACTCATTATAAACGCTATTCATCAATTAATAAATATTTCTGATTTACACAATTAAAATTAACCGAAACTCAAGGGATCACAAAAATATACCGAAGAAATACATTTTTTTTAATAGTTAAACTAAAAGCGCAAAAAGTTAATCAAGATATACCTATGTAGAATTCACTATAATTCAGATTTCCGAATCAAATAGGTGTATGAAATAAATTTAAACCATAACCTCAAAAATAATTGCTTACTATTTAGAACGTGATAAGGTAAATAACCAATAATAATAATTGTAGTTATAAAAAAACTAAAAAGATTTTTATTTAACTTTTAAGAGAATTAATTACTCCGAATTCGACCAGGACGTTTAGATGTCCAACGAAATTAGTTTATTATAATTTGTATGACGGTTCCCATTATATTATAAGAGGCGCTGTGTTACCGTAAAACATTGATAACAACTTGGCTGTGGCGGCGACCGCAATTGTCATTCAAAACAATAAAATTTTATATTTTTGAACACTGAGCATATTACAGAGGTACTCCATGCTATTGGAATTTCCTCTTGATCCCCGAGTTTATTAATTAGCTTATGCAGCTGCTTTATCAATTGCTCTCCTCCATTCTTAAGAAATTCTGGTATTATATAACCTGCTCCAGGTGCTTTCCCATTCTTTAGCATGTCCAGTCCGGTCACCACTTCTTCCATTGATGGTTGTTCAATATTTTGTTCAACAGTGTCATATTCTTCTGCTACTATATATCTTCTAGGTTGATTCAAGAATGTCTGAAACATGTTTTTGAATGCCTTTGCTATTTTGTCATTTTCTGTTAATAGAGTCCCATCCTCCATTCTTATCATTGTATGTCTGGGTTTAAAACCTTCTCACCTCGTTCGCCTTTTCGAAGAATATCCTTGTGTTATTTTTTTCTGTTATCCTCTATTTCCTTCACTTTTTCTTGTTTCCATAATCTTTTATTCATGCTAATTATTCTTTTTGCCTCGCTTTGTCTTATGGCTAACCTTCTTTTGTTCTCCTCTGTTTGGTCTTGTACCATTCTTAAAAGTGTTTTATCTCTATCTGCAATAGCTTCCTTACATTGTTCATTAAACCATGATTTTCTTTTTATCCTTGGTTCATGGCCCAAAACTTCTTCTGCCGACCTTTTGATTGTTTTTTCCATTTTTTCCCAGCTGTAATTTATATCCATATCATGGTCTAGGCCATCTAGGTATTCCTTAATTTTTTTCTTTGTAAACTTTGGCATGGTTTCTTTTCAATATTTCTTTGTTAATTGTCTTTGTACACTTCATTCTTTAAATTCAGAATTGCATTTTTAACAAATATAATGTAATCAAAGAAATATAAATATGTTTATATCTTAATAATGCTTCAAGCTACATAGTCATAAGCGTCCGTACGGAGGTGCCGGTTACCCCCCAAAATGTTGTAAATGGAGCCCTACAATTTAAGTCAAATAGTAAGGGCCCGTATTTTAACTGATGTTGATTAAATAAAATGTAATTTATTCTAAAATATTTGGTAAAAAATAAATTATGTTTCGTAGGTAATAGAAAAAGTAAAACTAAATTTTCACGAAAAAACTTTTTGTGTTAATGTAACAGCTACAATTGACTATAAAAGTACAAATCATAAATAATTAAAGCAACGTGAGGAAAATATCCGAGATTCAAGGAAAACAAATTCATTGAGACTAATGTACCACAATATTAAATAAAAAATTAAAATTATGATTATTTAATTATTTATACACTATAATTTATAAAATATACTTAATTAACCTTTTTCATAGGGCCCAAAAGAATGAAATGGCCCCCCTTGATTTTGATTTTTAAATATTATGGTATTTAGCAGGGATGGATCCAGAGTCGGGGAACTGTGAGTCAAGCCATTTCAAGAGGCTATTTATTAGGGATGAAACTGAATAAGAAATTAATACCTTGTAAAAAAAATAAAAACAATATGCTCATAAAAGTGTATAAGTATATTTATATTACATTTTAGAATTAGTTATACTACCGATAATGACTTATTTACAATTAATAAATATAATCTAATTTTATCAGCGCAACAAAAGTACGGAATAAAATATGATTTACTTAACTTTCTACTAAAACGATATTATTTAAAATATAAATTATGAGTTGAAAAATTTTAAATTTTGAATATACATGGCATTCATTTTTCAAGTAACTCCGATGGGCCAACTGTCCAAGAGTCCAAATCAAGATCTAAAAAGAGAAAAAAATTTCTGGTATTTAATTGTCCCAAATCGGCTAAATCCTGATTGTATATTCCTTATGGGCGATTGTTAACTTCGCTAGAATATCGGTTAACATAAAAATATAATAAAAGGTCTAATGTAAACTCCGTCAATTTTTTTTCTTACATGTAATGGGTATATTTAACTCCTTTAATTTTTTTTTTTTTTTGTTTACATGCTTAGTGCTCACATTGCCACGTGCTTTCTCACATTAAATACGTTGACATCTACTGCGATGATGTATGTCAAAATTGATAAAATTATTGTCATGGTTCAATTCATTTCAAGGTAGGATATATATCCACATCGATCCATTTATTAATAATTTTATCTTCATATTATCTGAAATTAATATTTCCAATTATGATATCGGCAGTAGGTAAGGTATACGTAAAATATACTTTGACGAACATAATCATTCATAGTCTGCGTGTCTCCGTGTATATTTTAAATTGAACAAAATATGTCACAACAAAGTATAAATATAAAATTAATTACTGGTCAACTAGGTAATTTATTGATTTTATTTAACAACTACAAATATAACCAAAATATAAAATATGCGTCTGGTGAAATAAAATTGAGGTATGATATTATATAATATTCTCTTATTATTACTTATTACCAGGGCTCATAACTTCTAGCATTTGTATAATTTTTTTGAAAGGTCCTAGAGGTACCTATGTAAGCAATAAATTTGTTTCAGATAACTAAGAAGCTACATACGAAATTTTATGTTGCATATTTTTGCATATTTTGGAGTATAAGTGATATATTGCTTTTTTTTGCATATTTTTGGGTTTTTGCATGATTTTTATCATTGATTTTTTTTAAAAAATTTTTAGTGGACTAAAACATTTTTCCTTAAAAATAACTAGTCATTATAATCATATTGACCATATTAGTAATTAATTAGTGTTAAGTAATTTTTCTTATAACTTATATAATAATATCAGAAGAAACTATATATACCTACCTATACGAGTTTAGGCGACGCGCGACGTAGCTAGAGTGTACGCCCGAAACTTCGTAATCCCATCGATAAGGAAACCATTATAATTGTATATAATTGTAGCTTGTACTGTAGTATTTTATTTTCATAGTTTCTAGGTATTCGGGTGTTCCGATATCGTTATCTAGATATTCCGATATCATCATTCTCAGGTTATTTAAAGATTATTTTTCATTAACATTTTGCAGTAGTTTCCGATTTTTCGTAATGTATGCATGCTAGCTCGTTTCGTGAATTCAGTATCTACATTTTTTTTTTCTAATAGAAGCTAAAATAATAAAATAATCATTTTTGTATACAAATGTTTTTTCTTTTGCATATTTTAGTATTTGTAGTGCATATTTAAGCGCTTATATGAATACTTTTTAGAGCTATAAGTTATAAGCCCTGCTTATTACGTATTACTTTTAATAATATATCATATTAATTTTATACTACTACTCGATTTTCTTCACTGGCGGAGTTTACATGTATTCAATTTTACCTGATTTTTTTTTTTTAGTGGCTGAATTTACATCAAGGGTGCCCCATATGGGGAGGGGGGCAAAGGAGGAAAATTGCCCCCCCCCCCGGTAAATGTCAAAAATCTTAGATAATTGTTTACTATGATCAAAAAATATTTATTTTAATAGAATTTAAAAATTTAATATATGAAAATCTATAATTTGTTTATGAAAAATCTTTAGTTTGGAAAATCATGTTATCAGCTATAAATAACAATACGCTTTTTCGTTTCTAATCTATGGATAATTATCAATTCTTCAAATATTGTGTATTTCCAGAAATACGTTATGTATATGTGTGTGTGTACACAACTATAGTATTTATATAATATTTGTAAATTAATGTTTTAATAAATATAACTAATTTTTTAAGTGTCCAATTTATATTAATTAAATAAAAATTTCAATAAATTTTATGGTAAATTGGTTAAATAATAATTATTTTATAGTTTTCCAGTTTGATATATAAAATGTAAAATTGTTAACCCCTAACCATTGATTATAGAAAAGATTATATTCTATAATCAATGCCCTAACCTATATCATAAATATATCTGTTTATGAATAGATTGATAAATTAAAATGTCCCCCCTTTTGAGAATTTTCCTATGGGCGCCCTTGGTTTACATGAACCCAATTTTATCTGTTTTATTTTTCTGGCGGAGTTTACAGTAAATAAAAAGGTACTTGTGGCGGAGTTAACATGCGCCTATTCCATATAATTAACGATCGTATAACAAAAATTAAATTCTGAGATTCTGTTTTATAAATATTCGCCACTTGACATTTTGAGATAGGACAAAAGTACGTATATTAATAGATTGAAAACTATGAATTCCAAATACGGATATCGAACGCACATTTGACAAACACAACTACAGAAAGGGGCCAAAAAATGTTGGCTCCCTTATAGAAATATGTCTGGTTACGTGTCTGACAATGACAATTATCATTGATTATCAAATTAAGTAATTACTATTCTTTAATCAATGTCTAAAAAAAAAAAAATTCAGGATTAAAATACTCCCTCGTCTTCATAAATAATATGTATGGAAGTGGAAATCAGATAATATATTTTACTAAATTTTCAATGCACTTTTGTAGGGTGTAATCGAAACCTATGTTTTTGTTGGGATATAATAAGAATTATTCTGTCCTATAAAATATGTAACATATGCATTATAGGCAGACATTTGGTTGAATTTTTGGGGGAGCTATAATAATTCAATGTAAAATAATTCGCAAGGGCTTCGTCCTCACACTCTCTTCCCATGCACAAGTAAAATATTTAAATTGTATTAAAAAAACACTTAATAAAGTATATTTATAAATAATTAATATTTTTCGATATATCTTTTTCAATATATAGTATTAAAAGATCGCTGAAGCTATCTTAAACAAACGATGTCCTTAGTCAAATTTTTATTTTTTTCATTGCACTGAAACTTCTTCCGCAAGTAGCCGAACTAATTGGTATTTTTAATGCTATTCTAAATAGTTTTTTATTATTTCTTATTTTACGATTTTCAAAAAAAACGAGCAGATAATTATAAAAACAACGAATAACATTTCTAATTAAGTTTCGATTTTGGGAGGAGCTTTTCAGGAATTTAAGCAATAAAACAAATAATTAATAATTAAAATAAATATAGAAGGGATTTTAATTTAACATCAAATAATTTAAAATTTTGAAGCAAGATATTTTTAATATGTAATCAATGTAATTTTTGATTTAAAAAGTTTCAACATGAATCTTGTAAATTTATTACTTGAAATTATTATACAATTTAAAAATTGATGTTGATTGCTTTGCTTAAAATCTAAAAAAAATCGGGAAAAGTTTATTTATTATGTATTATAAAAGTATCTACTTCTTCTTCTTCTTGCTTCTTTTGGCCATTCTACTCTCTAAGAGTTTAAGCCGTTACTACAATATCCCGCCACTTTTCTCTGTCTTGAGCAACTTCATGCCAATCTTCCATGCCCATTGTCTTTAGGTATTCCGTCACTCCATAAATCCATCTCTTCCTTGGAGTCCCCTTGGTCGTTTTCTTCTCTTCTTAGCATATGTGGCCATTGGATTCTTTGACCTTTAATGAGTTAGTTACTGGAACTAAATTCGTCATTTGCTGCAGTTCTCAATTGAATCTTCTTCACCACAACCCACATTTGAATCAGTACTGCATATTTTTCGCCAAATCTTGCTCTCGAAAATTCTTAGCCTCCTTGTGTTGTAGTCCAGGCTTCACATCCGTAAGTCAATGTGGATCTTATAATTAACACATACAATTTCGTTTTGGAGTTAAGAAATTTCAATAATGCGTAGGTTTTTTCTGCTTTGTTTATACAAATATTTATTTATTTTCACCAATCGTTTCTTTTGCTCAAGGTTGCTCCTAGATACTTGATTTTCTCTACTTTTTAAAAGGCTAAACCTTTTTAGATAATTTAAAAGGAACTACTTATAACTAATAATTATAAATACTATTAATTTTAAAACTTAAAAAAAATATAATTGTAATAATAATATTGTATTTGTATAATTTATAAAAAAAAATGTTCTTTTAAAAATATAATATTTAACTAAATTTAACCAAATATTTTGGGAGTAAAATATTACTGTACTATACTACAACATAACATTTAGAAAAAAGGTGGATAAGAAAATAAAGTATAAATATTTATTAGACATATTTTAAATTAAGAAATAATTAATTTTTATAATACTCATAAAAAAACAAATAAGATTTTACTAAAAAATATACAAATGTATTTTTAAAAATAGCACACTTTTCTTATCAGTCTGATGTGTCAAAAAATATAAGTACAATACAAATAAAACAGTAAATAGTGTATAAAAATGTAATAATTAATATCTTAAAGTAATATTATGAAAATAAAAATATTATTTTTTTCACAGTTATCACTAACATGTACCCATTTGGTAAAACATAAAATATATTAAAATAACATAAGTATAATAATTTTATAATTATTAATATGAATAATTAAATAAAAAAATTAATAATCTAAAATAAACAGCTTACATTTTTTATAAATACAACACAATTAATATTTAATAAATATTAAAAAAATATATCAAATATTGTTTTGAGTTCAGTTATAAGTTGTTATTTCATAATATTATTTAATTATTTCATAGCCATTAGAATTTGCCGAACCTTTTACATCAGCTAGTAATAACGGTCTACGTTCTATAATTTCTTGTACTCGATTTTGTGATCCAAAACAACTACGACAGATTTCTTCTGTATGTTCAAGCAAATTATATAGAAAACTATTGAAAAATGCTTGCATGGGATTTAAAATAGCCTAAAAAAAAAATCATTTAATAAAGTAGATGTATACTTAATAAACAGAATATATTTAGAAGTAAATAATACTATAAGAATTCATATTTTGTAATATTTAAAAGTTACATACCATTAGATACCAAAGTGTTAGCATTACCCCACTAGGTAAATCGTCCCAAGATGTCCAAACTATCACAGCATTAATTATATTAGGAGTCCAACACAAATAAAATCCTAAATTAATTAATGCGAACCTCTGTTTAAATAAATCTAACATTTTTCTTTCATTTGTGGAATATTGTGCCATGTATGAAGTTATAATATGGTAAATAAAACCAGTAGATATAGAATATAACACAGGGTTCACAACCATAACAATAATTACTGGCAAAAATGTAAGAAAGTAATTTGGAAAAAATTTCATTACAACATTTTCTTTCAAGCTCAAATTGTGACAGCTGAAATAAATAAAATTCCAGTTATACTCATAAACAAAGAACTCATTAGATTAATATTTATTTTTATACTTGGCATTTGGTGTGTAGAGAGTTGATAGTCCAATAAATGTAAAAATTGCAGGAAATATCCAAGCTACGAAATGATATAATTTTCTATATGAATGTTTATCTTGATACGCTCTCCACATATCCACAGCATATAATAAAGTCCACAACCAAGTGACCATATAAAAATATTGAATCCAAACCTGTTTGTACATGAAAAATAATTTAATATTAACGTAAACCTAAAAGTTAGAAGATTAGTAGAACCAACATAAATTTAAACTTACAGCTAAAAATATACATGTAGCTGTATATGGTTGTCCATCGTACCACTGAAAATGATGCATCAATTTTAAGCAAGACCTCAAAAAAATGCCTGTAATTAAAATAATAATATTAAGGTATTTTTAGCTTAATATTCAATGTTATAAGATTATTTGTCTGGAAATGTATAATTCTAACCCTACTTATACTTTATGTATTTAAATAATTAATATATAACTTGAATATTATGTTTTATTAACAAATTATAAAATAAATTATGTCTAAGAATTTATGTAAATATATAAGTATGCCTAAAGATGCACAGAAATCTGCTAAGGCTAACCACATAATAATTGTTTTTCCTCTCCACATGATATTTGAATAAAATCTGTTAGGAACTTTAAGCTCAATTTTAGGCAATATCTGAAAGTAAAAATATATTAAAAAAGTATAGAGTTTTATAATCTTATTTAATTTAGAAAATATCTGCAATAAGCAATATTGAATTGAGAGCAAAAAATCAAAATCAATCATTACCTGATAAGTAGCCCCAGATATTCCAATCAGCGAAGACAGTAAACACACCATATTAAAACGGTCGGTATTGAATTCGTTCATTAGTTTATAAGCAGGATGATAATCGAGAGCTCTCCGGCAACAAAATGTTTGTATAGATGGATCGGCCATGATCGAAGCAGCTAAGTTCTACAAATGTCCAAAAAAATATCTTTCTCCTCTTGTATTCTCTACATTTAAAATCAAAACTGATCATTAAATAATTTTTCCAATGGAAATAAATATAAAAAAAAAAAAATTGTTACATAAGTATTTTTTATCAAACATTTTCTTAAATCAGTAGATAATCACATAAACACATCTCACAGTTTTAAATTCAATTAGTTTTCTAATTAGAATAACAATAGCTATGTTAAAAACTATGATAAAACGCTAAAAAAAAATAAAAATCAATACAAGTACCATAAATCCTTTTCACGTAGTACGTTATGGAATAATTGTATAAAATTCAAATATTGCAATACATTACGAGCACCGCATTAATTATTATTCTAACGTTGAACCTTACGGCTCCCACACAACCAGTTTGGCGGCGGGCGGAGGCTCATCGATTATCATGTTATACCCGGCATCTAACCCCTTTCCCGCTCACTCGGTTGTAGTATCGTAAACGTTCAACAATTGAACCCCGTAGATTAAATTTAATCTATCCATTAATACCTCATTTACGTCAAGTACATAAGTTTTCCGAAGACCATAAACAAGCTACACGGAACTTAATCAAACGTCGACTGGTGTTGACATTTGAGTTTACACTAGTACTTATTGCGTTGGTGAGGCCAATAAGGCGTGACAGAGAATGCCGGTGATGTCAGGAATCTCTGAACCACGAGTATATCAGTGTATTACGTAATAATAAATAACATCATGTTTCGTCTTGCGGCGTCTATTGATATCACGGAACAATGATGTTACAGGCAGGTAACTACCGAGAGAGATTTTGGCACTTGTCCGAAAAATGATACGGACCTAATAAATGATAAGGTCCGAAATTTGAAAAAGCAGTACCAACTGACGAAATCGAAAATTACCAAATCAAATTATATAATTTATATTGATAAAAGTTTTTTTTTGTTTGTATATTTTCAAAAAAATTAACCAAATTTTAAACAACTATAGTAACATATAATTATGTATAACATTAAATCATGGATATGTTTTCGGGTTAAAACTTTAACTTGTATTATTTTAGTAACCAATGTAATTAAAGAAGGATAATGCTTTTCTGTTCTCGCAATTCTTCTTAATATCCATCTAAAAAACATATCCATGTTATAAATCTATGTAATATACAGGGCAGTATTTAGGGGGGAGCTACAGGGTGCTGTTGCCCTGGGCGGCTGAATATGAGAAGGTGGCTAATTTTTTATATTTTCAATATTAAATGATCTAATATTTTTGAAGTGAAAATTCTTTACAAATAAAGTGTATTTCAAAAAAAATATATATATCGCCAATCACGGCGTCACGACACACACACACACACATACTCGGTCGAGTACTATCGATAGATCCAAAGATTTACAAAACAATCTATCCTTATGTTGAAATTGCACTTAGAATGCTTTTGTATACATCAGCAACGAATTGTTCTTCAGAAAAATCTTTTTCAACTCGCAACAATTTGTATTTCGTATAATAAAACTTTTTTTATCGTTGCCCTACGGTGACAAATTCCTAAGTACGGCCATGGTAATGTATCATGTACTTTTATAAATATCTAGCTTAATATTTAATTGTATGTAAAACTTTGATGCAAATATTAATGCTAATAACGTGGGATAACAAGTAATTCTTCCCTCCTCTTTTACTGGCTCCCCAAGTTACATGCATGAAAAAAATCAGGATGCCATGACTTATGTTCGTAAATTTGGCCGTCCAGATTAATTTATTACTTTCACATGCAACCCGGAATGGCCGGAAATAAAAAACTAATTATTTCAAGATCAAAAGTCGTTTGATAGACACGATATAATTTCTAGAGTTTTTCATCTCAAACTAAAAAATTTATGTATTTATTAAAAAATAAATATATTTTCGGTGATGTAAATTGTTATGTTTACAGTGTTGAATGGCAAAAACGAGGTTTGCCACACTGCCACATTCTTTTGTGGTTACAAACGAAAATTTAACCAGATGAAATTGATAAAATTATTTTTGCCGAGATACCAAACAAAGACAAAGATCCTATACTTTATGAAAAAGTATGCAAGAATATGATTCATGGCCCATGCGGCGAGTTAAATATTAGATCGCCATGTATGAATAATGGAAAATATAGTAAGAAATACCCTCACAAATTGGTCAAGGATACTCAAACTGGAGAAGATGGTTATCCGACTCACCGACGGAGATCTCCAGATGATGGAGGTTATACTGCAATATTAAAAGTTCGTGGTTGACAACCGTTGGGTTTTACCGTATTGTCCAGTGCTATCTAGGTGCTTTAATGCGCATATTAACGTAGAATACTGTCATTCGATTAAAGCGATAAAATACATATGTAAATATATTAATAAAGGATCAGATAAAGCTACTTTTTCTGTTAATCGTGAAAACGATGAGATTACAAATTATTTGAAAAGTCGATACATATGTACTTCTAAAGCGTTTTGGAGAATTTTCAATTTTGAAATCCATGATAGAGATCCGACAGTTCAGCACTTGGCTGTTCATCTAGAAAATGGACAGCGTGTTTTTTTTAATGCTAATAATCTTCATCAAGTTATTGAAAATCCAAGAAAAACGACACTAATTGCATTTTTTGAATTGTTTTCACATGATGATTTTGCGACCACACTGTTCTATCATGAAGTTCCTTCTTATTATACCTGGGATGATAGCAAAGGCTGGTTAAAGAGAAGACGGGGAAAAGATGTTCCAAGTTGGCCAGGAATAAAAATGAACACTACCATTGGTAAAATTTACACGATTCACCCAAATCAAAGTGAGTGCTTCCATTTAAGATTGTTACTAAATTATGTACAAGGTCCTACTTCATTTGAAAGCTTGAAGGCCTTTGATGGAGTCATTCACACGACTTTTAAAGCTACCTGTTTTGCTCTTAGGCTTTTAGAAAATGACGAGCAATGGAGAAATGCTCTAGCGGAGGCAACTCTTTCAGAAAGTCCTTCAAAATTAAGAGAATTATTCGTAATAATCGTAGTTTTCTGCCAACCGTCTGAACCTCAATCTTTGTGGGAACAGTTCAGAAATGACTTTGTGAAGATATTCTTCATACAGAGCGCACTCGATTAAATGACTTGCAATTTACTTTATCTGATAAAATATTTAATAGAGGTTTGATTGAAATAGAAAATAAAGTTGTTTGTCTGTCAGAAAAATATTTAACTGAATTTGGAATGAACTCACCTGTTCGAAATTAAAATGTATCTGATCTTTTTGAATTCTCAATATTGCGTTCTTATGATAATAACTGATTACAAGAATTTGTAGAAATCAATTTACCAAAATTAGTAAATTATCAAAAATATGCTTTTAATGTTATTACAGAAAGCGTAATGAATCATCAAGGAAGAGTTTTTTTTTAGATGCTCCGGGTGGTACAGGAAAAACATTCCTAATTAATTTGTTGTTGGTTCAAATTAGATACTCAGGTAAAGTTGCATTAGCAGTAGTTTCATCTGGTATAGCAGCAACTCTCCTTAGTGGCGGCAGAACTGCTCACTCGACTTTCAAGTTACCGTTCAATGTATTATTTGATACAGAATACGTTTGTCCGAATCGTAAAAATGGCCCTCTTGGAAAAATTCTTCAAGAAACCTCATTCGTTGTATGGGATGAGTGTACAATGAGTCACAGATCACGTATCGAAGCAATTGATCGAACATTAAAAGATCTAAGGTGTAATAATAAGTTTATGGGTGGCATAACATTTGTTTTCGCTGGTGATTTCCGTCAAACCTTACCAGTAATCCCTAAAGGTACTCGAGCTGATGTCGTTAATGCTTGCTTAAAATCTTCCCCTATATGGAACTATGTTGAAAAACTTTATTTGCGAACAAACATGAGAGTTTATTTATGCGGAGGGGACGATATTTTTCCAGCACAGTTGTTGAAAATTGGAAATGGAACTTTAGAAAATGAAAATGGTTACATTTCACACGATTGGACGGGTGATCAATAACGTGGAAGAGTTGATTTCTACAGTTTATCCTGACATTTTTAATCTGTTCAATAAATCTTATCAGTGGTTATGTGAAAGAGCTATTATCTCTCCGAAAAATGTAACAACAGGAGAAATTAATGATATCATCCTTCTAAAATTCGATGGACACTCACGTGAATATTTATCTATTGATACAGTTACATCAACAGATGATGCTATTCATTATCCACAAGAATTTCTCAATTCTCTTTCTCCTTCTGGGTTTCCTCCTCATAAGCTAAAATTAAAAATTGGTGCTCCAATTACATTATTACCTAATCTTTAACCACCAAACTTATGTAATGGTACAAGATTACAAATAAAATAGTTGCGAAATAATATTATAGAAGCCGTAATTCTTACAAGGCCAGTGAAAGGAGAAATTGCATTTATTCCAAGAATTCCCATGATTCCCTCCGACTTGCCGTTTTCTTTCAAACCGCTTCAATTCCCGGTTAAAGTTTCTTTTGCCATTACCATAAACAAAGCGCAAAGTCAAACATTCAAGTACGTTGGCGTACATCTTCGTACAGAGTGCTTTTTACATGGGCAATTATACGTGGCATTTTCTCGAACTGAGAACCCGAATCATGTTATGATTTTAATTTCAACAGGAAATATAACAAAAAACATCATATACTCAGAAGTCTTATAAAATTCTTATTTTAATTTTTTTTTTTCTTTTTTTTTCTTCATCAACTTCAATCAAATTCTTTATCAACCATAAATTATTTCTTTTTATCTGTATTTATTTTTATCAATTATAACGCTAGAAAAATTTCAATCCGTTTTCATTAACCGTTTTTTATTGTATTTACTTGCCGATCACATTAAACAATAATATTTGAATAAAAAATTCTACATATCATGGTCCGAAGGCAAAATAAACAACCAATCACGGGCGAAGCTGTGATGGGTCGGCTAGTAATTATATATAATATATGTTATATATTATAAAATCAAATATTAAGGCGAATTCCCACTATTCGGCCAATTGTTTAAATTGTATTGAGAAGTATTACCATTTAGGAACTACGAAAACTTCCGATCACACAAATGCGTCAGTTAAGGGAATTCGCACGAAGTTTAATTATTAATAAAATTCTACTTATATTAAATATTTGTTAAAATTGAATACGCAATAGAGTGGCATTTTCTATTGTTCAAAAGCGCTTTCGAATTATTTGTTCCATTAATTTTATTAATTATCGGCATTTTTATGTATATATTGTATAAAAACAATAAAAAAAAATCGATTTAATTTGGTCCATTTTTAAATCAATCTATTTTATACTTACGATTTAAATCGAAGAATAGATATTAGAATCGCCCATCTCTATTATGTGCATAGAGTAATTACTCTATGATTATGTGGCTGAGCAGTCATGATGACGTGACAGTATGATAACTAAGAATTTTAAGTGCTCGTACCAACCTACAGAAATTAAAAATAAGAATACAGAATATGTGTACCAATAGACCGGACACCCTGGAATAGGTAAATAGTATATTGTATAGGTTAACGGATTTCTGGTTTGGCGCCTTTTTTTTTACCATTTGTTCCGCACGTAGACAATTTCATCATCTTATATATACATATAACTAAATGACTTCTTTTATTAGTTCCCCGTTCATTTATCCTCGCAACGATTTGGTGTCTACGTAATATCAAAATTTTACCGATGTCGTGTTTATTAGTTATTGATTTTGCTCTAGATAATCTCTATTTTTCGTTTAACTCTATGGTCTTAACATCATAATATTTCTGTATACTCTATACATTCCATACCTAGTTATTATAATGTCTAATGAGGAATTAGATTTACTAACAGATTTCAACCAAATATGTTGGGATGTTGAAATATTAGCCATAAAAAACTTGCATACTGTTGAATTACCACTGTGTGGTTTTCTCACTAGTTTATCGGCAAAGGATTGTGTTATATTATTGGTAAGTAATTTTTTTCATTGTGATGCTCCAATTTGTAGATTATATTTTCACATTTTGACACTGTATATTATGTTCTCGTTCAGTCAGTTCGCGAATATATTTATTAATGTTCTTGTATACTCATAGATTAAAAGCTTTAATTTAGTATTAAATGTAGACATTTGAGTGACATATTCCTGAAAAGATATTAAGATCATTTAATATTATCAATCTTTTAAAACAACCTTAGTATATTTATTTAATATTTACTTATTATATCTCCCTATAATAAATCATACAACTCTAGCATCATATGTCTATGATACCTCTACCTATACCAGCTTTAAATATAAACCCAAACATAACTGCTTAAAATATACAATATCACCTAAATCTTATTTTTAATTGGACAAAAAAAAAAAAATTGAAAATCAACGTAAATGAAAACAAATTTCCTAGTTCAAATTAATTTTGGTCTTGGTATGAAAAATTGTCCTAAATTATTATTAAATAACATACCTATACCAATCTAAAATGTGACTTAATACTTAGGAGTTTACTTTGATAAGCGATTTAGGCATATCATACAAAAAAACAAAAGAAAACAATCCAAAACTCGCCTACACCTTCTCTGATTAATCACTATCCCATCCAATAAGTCTAAAAAATAAATTTTTAAATTATAAAATAATTATAACTCCTCTTTTGTCTTAACGGAACCAAATTTGGAGTCAAGCAAAACTAGCATAATACTTATACAAGCTTTCCAATCTATATGTCTTCGATAAATAACTAGAACCCCATGGTATACAACTAATAATGCACTACATAAAAATCAGGGGGCCGAAGGATCCACGCCCGCTTCAGTTTTAAGAGTTTCCTATCCCTTTCACGACGAGCCTTAATTTTTGTTTTAATATGTTTAATATGTTTTCAACTAGCACACATAATTGTGTATATAAATCTATACTATCTTTAGTCCTGCCTGATTAATTGATTTTAGTAATTGGTATTAACGAACCTACACATATGTGTGTGTTCATCGTGGAAGGGTTAAAGTAAAATTATTTTTTCTTAGTTCTATAAATATTCAAAAATAATACCTATATTGGCAACTTTACAAATAAGCGTCACTACAGCATAAAAAAAATACTTTTACTCTACGAAGAGTAGAACCATAGCTTCGTTTGAGACTAACTAAAGATAGGCTGTCCAATTTATGTTAAATAAATGCTCGTAGAGAAATTTATACGTATAATTAAATATATGACATTTTAGATACTTAAGGTTAAAAATAGACGTCTAATTAAAAAATTAAATTAAAAATTTGATTTTTTTTTTAAGTTTTTCGATTATGGATCTGTCCTTCCCCTTCCCCCCATAAAATAGATCCCTGGAGCCACACCAGATAAAGACCTTCAAATTTAAACAGTAAACAAAATAGGAATTCAATAATACAAAAAATGTCACTTAGTTACTGTTGCTGAACGCCTTCTCTCCTTCATGTTAATTGACCCATTTTATTATATTTTGTTTGTGTCATCTCATTTATTTATTATGCTCGTTTGTATAGATTGTAAAAACAATTTATTTAATATGTGAAAAAAAAACAGATTTTTAAATCCAATAACTAGGATTGTTATAAAGCATTTCACATTAGTTGAAATGATTATATTACAATGAGTTTTCTGCAATTTTTTGTTGTTATTAATATGATACAAAATTCAAATGTACCTTAGGTATTAAGTATTAAATTAAAATTATTTTTTTAGAAACATATGTTACATAATTCAAAAAGCATAAATCCACCTTCTATGGAAACAATACTTCTCAATTATTTTATAACAGATTATATAAGCTGTGGATTTTCTTCTCAGACTTTTCATACAATATTTCACAAAAATCTTCAAACTGATGATGCTAAAACATTACTTATAAAACTTTTAATACGAGTTTGGAATTATGTATTCGAACATTATGAAATAACCAGTACGTAAATATATAAAATTTACTTCACTCTATTACATTTGAACTATATTAATATTTTTTCTTTTTATTAATTTTAGGTCTGAATGTTGAGTTTGTTAAAGATTTTGTTGTCAGTTTGGAACGAGTGTTCATTAAAATTACAAATTTAGTTCCTGAGTGTCTTATACTATTTCAAAAGATTAATGTTATAGATAAAATAAAAAAACGCATTGCAAAATATGAAAGAAAGAGTACGATAACAAAATTTAAAGGTGTTGAAAATGAAGTTAATATTAAATTAAATACACCAATAATTAAACTTTATATCGAAAATCAAGTACCACAGACCGAGGAAAAAAATCAAATGGAAAATATGAAATGTTTATCTATAAATAATGAACAACAAAAAAGGAAAGTTGAACCATTTTCTAACCAACACAATTTATTAAAGAAACCAAAGTTAATATATAATAATGATTTGAAAAATGTATTAAATCACAGTACCAAATCAGGTATGTTGATATTGAGTATAATTTATTTTAGCTTATATACTGGATATGTAGAAACCTAATAGAAAAATTAGATTCAGTTCTATCATACATTATAATGTAGATGAGTAGTAGAGATCTGTAGTAGTAGATCTGTAGTAGAGTCATAGACGTACGCTGACTTGTATTTCAAAGAGTTCCTACAATAATTTTGGGCCTTATCTTAACAAAACGTATATATATTTAGTAAATTATAATGTATAAATAATTAAATAAACATAACTTTAATTTTTATTTAATATTGTGGTATTTTAGTCCCAATAAATGTTTTCCTTGAATCTCATATATATTTTTAAATTATTTATTATTTGTACCTTTGCAGTCAATTGTAATTGTTCATAATAAGTTTTTTGCATAAAAATGTAGTTTAATTTTTTTTCTATTACAAAATATTAATTTTTTACCTAATATTTTTAGATATATTACATTTCATTTGAGCAACATCATTAAAATACAGCTTCTTTATTCTTAAACTTACATTGTAGGACCCCATTTTCAACATTTCAGAGATGTCCAGGCACACCTGACACCTTCATGCATGCAAATTTTCTCTAAAATAGAATATATATAGTCTCATGGGATATTTTCTTGAATAGTTTTCACTATATATGTTTTTAAATATTTATTTGCCTTTTTAATTTTTCTTAATTTTATTTAGATCCTAATAAAATCTCAATAAAACCAGCTGATCAAAAGTTAAATATATTTCAAATTATGATGCTCAATGCCAAAAAGCAAAAAAATATCATAAAATAGATATTTTTTATTCAAATATATTTTGTGGTTGTATAATTATATTTCATAGAAAAAGTTTTTTATTTTTGTTTTTAAGTTTTATGTTTATTAATTATTCATAATATTTATAATTATAATTATTTATTATTAAATAAGATATTGAAGACAGTAAATACTAAGCTTTGTATTAAAATGTAATGTCATGTCATTCGTACTGAATAAATTTATAAAATTTAAGAGTTGTACATATAAAATATTTTTGTTATATAAAACTTATATTAGTTTTATAAAATATATATATTAGTTTTTACTATATCTAATGTAAATTACCAATTATGTACAAATGGTAGTTGCCTATTTGATACTGATTAGTTTTATTTATTGACTGGTTGACTACCACACTAAAACAATGAGACTTTTTTTTTTTGCTGTTTGAGACTAACTTTTTTTTCGTGGTGTAAGACCTAATAACCATACAAAATACTTTTACTACCAGGCTTTGTAGGATCAACAGTTTAAATTCTATGTTGTCTTGGGTTTTTAGAATCATCATAATACACTGTTTTGGTTAAAATACTTTAAAATGGCCTCCTTAGAAATGTATATTTTTATTCTAAATCAAAAATCTTAATAAAGAATATAGCTAATACCAACATAAAATTATTAGGCATTGATATTTTTTCAATAGTAGAATAATGTGTATTATAAGTGTAAAAAATTAAAAGCCCAGTTCCAATGCCCGTTTCACATGAGTCATTTAGTTGCGTCACCACGAAATATGATGCTACAAACCTGTTTATGTAATTGATCTTCGTTAGAAAATGTGCTACAGTAAGAAACCATTAAAAGAGTGTATTCATTTCATACGGATCCAGTACCTACCGGAAAGTTCGGGAAATAATGTGTTCCTGAATGATAAAATGATAAAGGCGATATTTCTGAATATTCCTCGAGTATAAAAACAATGTAGTGGGTAAATGGATGTTCGCTCCCACCGTTTCATCCTCGTCAAAAAAACCAGTCTACGGACGTTTCGTCAACGTCTATTATTAAGATAGGATATTTGGCCCCCGGAATTTTAAATCATAAAATTTAAATCGTTTTTTTTTTTTTTTTTTTTTACTTAAAATTTGAATTCTTTTAAAACCCACAATTGCACTACAAATTTAAATCCACAATAATTGAATGTTGCATAAGCCGTACTCGCCACAATGTGAACGGTTACAGGCATGCACCAATAAAAAAAAAACAATTATAATGATAATAATAATAAAGTTACAATTATATTAAGTAAACATAAATTATAAATAATATATGATTATTTATTCCTGTCACATTTATACAAATATTATAATTAAAATAAATCTATATAATTCCCGAGGGCCAAATGTCTTATCTTAATACTAGATGGGGACGAAACATCCGCGATTCCTTGCGATGATACTTCGTAACTACACATACTAACCAGCTCTAATGATTTTATCACAATGGATGAAAATTAATCATTTTCATATTATGTTTTTCAAGTCTATCGTGTACTTAATACCATATTTAAGATTTTGCAGCTCTGAAGTACAAAACTGAAAACAAGTGTCTTCGACTTTTCATTATAAAACCGCTCGCAATTAATTTTTCAGTACATTATTACACAATGTTTGTAATTATTATAAAATCCAAAATAACCGAGATTTAATTATCTAAATAAATTATAGACAATTTTCTTTTATGAGAGTGATTGGTGGGTACTCTGGCTGAATGTCCTATCTCCATACAAATTAAGATACCAATAACTGTATATTAATAAAATACTCTTAAATATATGTAAATTATATATGCTACTACTTAAATAGTAAAACTAATTTTCCATTGAGAATGCGAAAAATCGATTTGTTTTTGTATAGAATCACTGTAAAAATGTTGTCGCCTTTTAAATATTTCAGGGGGCTATGCAGTGGCGTATTTTCTGTAGGGGGGGGAGGATCTAAATATTTAGTATAAGTTTAAAATATTATAAAAAAATACATACGAGTTTTAATTTAATAATAAGATTTATTATTTATACTATATTATATTTCACTATTATTATAAATACAAACTAATAGCTTTTTATAATAAAAAAGGCAGACGTCTTTTTTCGCCAGTTCTTTAATAACTTCAGATTTTATAGAGTAGTTTTTATTTATAACATATCCAAATAACCAAAAGCTAAACCCAAGTTATTTATACACATTGTAGGTAATCGAACATTAAAAACACATAATATAAATTAATATTCTCTTTCTCGGTACCTACATAGCAAGTTACTTATGACTAGAGCGCGGATTTCTATGCAATTGCATATTTTTTTCCTTTCAATATTTTTGGATTTTTGTCAGTTATCCCCACGAATCATCATAATTTAAAGCTAATGGTGAAATTTTTTTTTGCATATCTCCGCATATATAGAGATTATTGCATATTTTTGCATATTTTGGCAAAATTCAAAATTTATTGCATATTGAAGTGAAAATTTAAAAAAAAAATGTACAAAATAATATATTGTCAAGTTGAAAAATTAAAACTAAATTTTATAGTCACTAAATAATAATTTATATAAACGTATATATATATTTAGTTATAAAATAAATAATCGATTACGACGTAAACTTACGCTATTGCTGTGTCAGTCGGTTATCGACATACCACTTGCTTCAAATATGCCCCAATAACTTCGGTTGACATCGAACGTTCGTTTTCAGTCTTTAAAAATATGTTAACCGATAAACGACACAACTTCATAGAAGATAAACTTGAAATGCATATGATTTTTCAATTTAATAATAAATAAAATTTTAAAAATAAATTAAGTTCAGAAAATTCCCTACATTTTTTTTTATTAAGTTTTTAAGTAATTAATTATCATAAGTTAAATTATAAATTTTAAATAAATAAAAAATTCTTCCATATTTTTTGCATATTTTCATAATTTTGACTGCATATTTTTTACATATTTTTATGATTTTGACTGCATATTTTTTGCATATTTTCATGATTTTTACTGCATATCATATGGCATATTTCGATACTTTTAAGTGCATACAAATCCGCGCTCTACTTATGACTAACCTTTTTTTTCTGTTGGGAGGGGGGGTCAGGAGCCGGGAATTCCCTCGTAAATACGACCCTGGAGCTATGCCTTCCCAAACTACCTCTTAATTAGACTCTGACCGTAGCAGCCAAATATTGCCAAATGCAATTCTTATATATTTTAAATTTAAAAATATAATTATTAGACATTATTTTCAACAGTGATTCAATTAATATGAAGTTTTTATAGTTTTTTTTTTTTTTTTTTTTGTAAATAAAGTATACAAAATTAAGCGTAGCAATTTTTGATATAAAATGCATATTTTTTATTTTTGGGCGCGGATCGTAGTTATCACTCGCTCTTTGTTATTTTGTATTTCTTGTGAGTACCTCGTGAATATAAGAGCAAAAATCATCGACATTAGGTTTATCCTCTAAATCATCGTTTCTCAACCTTTTTGGTGTCGGAACTCCCAAAATAGATATAAAATATGGTCAATCACTTCATCTATATTAGGTAAAAATTTGATTTGAATTTACATTTTGTAAATCAGCGTTTTATTATTTTTGACCTATGCGACCCCTGGTTGAGAAACGCTGTTCTAAATAGCTCTTGGTTAATTATAGGATTTTAATTTTAAAACCATGTAATAATGATCAATACACAAAAAAAAAAAAAAAATACAAAATGTACTAAAAATAAATTTGTGACCTCCATGTGAAAACCATATGTTTAATGTGGTTAGCCACTATCTCTCTTCGGTGGCGACACTTAAGTGGCTCGCGTGGAACGGCCCTAAAAGTTATTTTCTGATATTATCTTTTAATACCACATTATAATATAATACATACAGGTGTGAATAACACGAGGGTGCGTCGTCTTTTAAGAAATACCAAAACTAGTTAAGAAATGGAACGTACGAAAGTAGATGTAGTCATCAAGGTCAACGGGGGATTAGTTAAACGTAAACCAGGTCCGAGCCGAGACATCTTTAATTGACAAGGCTAACTTGCCGACGAGGGGAATATTTTAAATACTCAAACCAGTTCCGAGTCCGGAGATTAAGGTCACAATGCCATACAGGTGGATTCCCACAGAACCTAAGTATACAAGGGGGTTGGGAATAGACCAATATCAGACGTGTTTTATACGCGAGCACCTCCATGCCAGTTTATTTGTCAAATTAATTAAATTATTTGTACTTAGAGAAATTTCAATAAACAGTTTAACTTGGTTTGAGTATTTTATTTGGAATATTCCTAAAACATCATCATCTTTACGGTTGAACGACCGCACACAACAGTACTATTAAAATTAAATTTCTTTTAAATAAATAATAAAAGGAAAAAAAGTAACTATCATAAGATCGTTTATTATAAAACTTTATTTGTGTAATATTCAACTACAATAATGGTTTGTATAAAAAAATCAACAAACTTTCTAAAATTAATCTACTGTCTTGTTACCAGTCTAATATTATAGCACAGTCTAGACATTATATTTTGGTGAATTCAAAATTACAAAAAAATAATAGAATATATATAACAAGAAACAATTAAATACAAAATATTGCTTTTTGATATTTTTTCTTAATTTGACATCCAATATTTGTGTACGAGATGGTTATGATAACAAAATATATGTTACCCTATTTTATACTTAATTGCTACTAGGAATTTAAACTACATGAGCTCTGAAGTTTAATATCCATTGGATATTTTATATTAATTAGAAATAAAAAACATAGTAACATTTAATTTATATTATAACAATTAGCTAATAAATCAGAGAATATTTTATACATTTGTAAGTAGTAGCGTTTGTGTTCCAGTAGCTCATGTTTTCAGTTCTTGATACACAACTCTAATGATGTTTATGTAAGTAAATTATTAATTGATAAATTATAATTAACAGGGACTAGATAAATGGCACTACATTGTATACGTATAAAAGTAAACATGAATAAAGTTTGTTTCCAGTAACAAAACAGAAGAACATATAACTAAGGAAAAAAAACAATAAAAAATTAAAATGAGCATCAATAATGTCTACTTAAGCTGCCTTACAACAATCGATGAAACACTGAAAGCATAAGACAAACTTACTACGTGATTCGGAATTACTCAACTGGTGCATTCCTGTTGCTCTATTGACGGTTTCACCAAGTCTAATGTTTCCGAACGTTTTTCTACTTCCGCTTTGAAATTTTCTAAATCCTGTTGACTAAAATCATCATAATCATTTTACAAAAGTAAAAATTTTACTAAAAATATATAAAACTAATATCTCTTCAATTAAAATAATGTATGTTTACCTAATTTGTACGTACAGAATACCATTAATGACATTAAGCATATCAAGCACACTACCCATTGATGGCGGATGTATTTGTATAGGAGGCAACGTAGCACCTGTTTTGCCGGTATAGATTTCATTCATTTTTTTTTGTAATACTACTGCCTGATGAGTTAAATGTTTTAAACAATCTGATGATTCTTGTGTTTTTTCGTGTTTTTCACCGAACTATAATATAAAAAATAAATCATAAAGGATACATATTTATAACACATTTACATATTTAAATTATTACCTGTTGTTTATAAATTGCATAAGTTTCTCTTTCATTGCTCAATGCTGAACGGAAATCTCCCATACAACTTTGAGTACGGGCAACTAAATGATAACTAACAGCCACTTTTAATGATTTAGGACCATAAAATTTAATATTTAAAGCTAAAGCCTTCTCTAAAAATCTTAATGAAAGATCGTATTCTTGAACAGCATGTAATATAAGGCTAATATTACTCTACAGAAAAAGTAAACATAATACACGCACAATAAATATACATATAAAAAAGTTATAAATTATAATGGTACTTTTTTGTTATCATAACCCAACAGTCAGCCGGCCGGGAAATACAGATTGCGTTATTGCACTCCATTATATTTATCTCAATATTGTCATGTTTCATTGCCAAAAATATAATTTATTTTAATAAAATAATATAATAATATGAATACTAAAAAAAATTATTGTAAATAAAAAATATTTTTATAAAGGAGGCATGAATTTAACAATGTCGTTTATAATTTGGGTAAATAAGCAGATGGTTTTTTGTCGCTAAAGAAATTCACTTATGTAAGAATCTAACAAAGTGTTTATACGAATACCTGTAGTATCCTTGCACTTGGAAATGTTGTATCGCCACAGAGGTTTAGACCCGCATACTGTAATAACATATCGTGACTTTTTATAAGTACGATTACAATAAAGCACTCCGCAGTCTTGTAAAAAGCATATCGCACTTTCTTCGTCATTGCACACCGAACATAACATATCGTAATTAAAACGAGCCATAGTCGATAAGGGAACTGATTTTTGGCAATGAAACATAACAGTATCGAGATAAATATAATGGAGTACGATAGTGGAATCAGTATATCTCGGCCGCCACTGCTGGCGGCCGACCACTGTGGTACGATAACTGAAAAGTACCATTATATTTATTAATTTAATATGAACATACATCTAATAAAGCTATTTCTGGGTGGTTTTCTCCACAAATCAAAATAGCCAAATACCGTGCTCGATACAACAATTTCAAAGCTGTAGTTATTTGATTATTAGCGTAGCAATATAAAGCTAAATGTATCTGAAACAGAATTAAGTTTAAACATAAAATAAATGAGAATTTACAAAAAATTGATCATACGTATTCTGTTATAGTATAAGGATGATCTATTCCATTAACTCGTTCAGACATAAAAACAGCTTTTTGTTGATACGCCATTGCTTCACCGTAATCACCCATTATATAACTTAATCTGGCAAGCATTCGTAAACATTGTGCGATTTCCGGATGCATTGCACCATAAACATTATTTAATAGAGTTAAAGCTTCCATAATTAAATCATATCCTTCTTTTAAAAGACCTTGTTGAATTTTTGTTTGACCAGTGGTGTAAAAATTAAATGCATCTGTAGCCTATAATAAGAAATATTTACTATAAAAAGCAAACAGAATGTATGATAATTAATGCATACCCTTGGGTTGATATGCTTGACAACAGGAAACATATTAACAATATCTTCTTCAAAAAAGGTAAATCGATTTTTTGAATCAAATGAATATTCTCTTAATAATATCTGAATACCAGTCTTCAAACAAAATGACCTAAAATTCAAATTATAAAAATAAAAAATAAAATTAGTTAAATAATTATAATTTAGAAGTATTAAAAAAAAATTTAAATTAAGAATACGAGTAATGAATATAATACAAATAATTAAATAAAAATAATAACCAAATTAAAATAAAAACTTTTATTTAACTATTATTAATAAGTATTTAGTAATAGATTAATATTATCAAACTCATACATAATATGTAAATTGATTAGATCGTGAATTTGAATGTTGATGAAAAAATTTCAGTTTTTAATTGAAGTAAACAAAATAGTTAGTAGTTGAATTATATATTTCTACATTGAATACAATTTTTAAGCAATATTACAACAAATATTACTACAAGCATTAAAGGTATATAGAATTAGGAAATTTATGTTTATAAGGGTATGTTTTTTGTAGGTTTTTTTTATAAATGTAAAAATTGTTTATAAGATTCTGCACCCAGAAATATTCTAATATTAAATTGACCTCAGTAGAGAACTGTTGGATGGAGTATGACAAGTTATAATTTAATACATAACTCATAAAGGACAATATTTTGCAGCTGGGTTAAAGTGTAGCTGTATATTTGAGAAAATCTTGCAAGAAATCACTATTCTTTCTCAGTAAAAGTTGAAAAAATACTCTGTACTAATTTGTTAAAAAAAAAAAACCTCACAAAAATTCATCAATCTTATTTCTATGACTATGATTCTAATTTTACTTTAGTGTATTAAACTTAGAACAATAAAAAAAAAAAAAAAAATTGATAAAATAGTGTTCATTTTTTTTTTATACATAGAAAAGGTACTAAGAAAATCTTGTTTTAGATTTGTTTTCAAAAGAAAAATGTCTATATAATATATACCTCAATAGCGATATTTTTTGTATGCCATAATGTTCACATATAGATTCAATTGTTTCAGATACTAATTCCCATGCATAATATGATTTTATTTCTGTACGAATTTGAGACCATAGAGAATGTCGGGTAAGATTAGCCCAATCTTTATTGTCAACTGTTAATAATCTATTTAGTCGACCTCTCCGCTTGTTTCGTTTTTTTATTGGTTTTACATCATCTAATGTATTCTGAGGATGTAAAGTGGAACAAGATGACAATAAACAATTCAAAAAATGACTAACTGCGCTTGCTAAACTCATTAATTCAGCTGACTAAAAATAAAAAGTTATACCAATCATAAGATCAAAAATACAAAATATGTAATACATAATGTCATTATATTAAATTACTAGATTCTAGTATTGCCGAGAATTTAGTGTAATATATAATAATCTAATTACTTGTATGTAAGTATTAAATATATGTTTTGCTGCTCTAGTAATTAATTCAGCAACAGTTATACTGTACAAATATTCTAGTCGTTTGATTTTTGAGAGTTTTTCAGCTATTTTCCCTAAATAACGAATATTAATACCTCTTGTATGTAAATTTTCAGATAGTATTTGTCCATCCATTGGAGCAGAAGAATGATCCATACAATCTCTTATCTATAAATAACATATTGAACTTCGTACTTATTAAATTTCATATGTGGTAAAAATGTAGTTCAACATACAAACAAAGGAATTTGTGATAACAATAAATATTCAGCTGCATCTACAACCAATTGTTTTTCTAATTTAAATTGATCTGATTCTGGGTTAAAATGTTTTACGCCTGGTGAAAAAACATCAGGATTGAATCGTATATCGAATTCTGTTTCTTTAAGAGAACCAACTTTTTGAGCAGCTTTTTTAACAACTTCTTTTGTGCTGTTATCATCATCTGTTAAAAACAATAATGAACTAAGATATACAGAAACTCAAATAATGACTTACTGTCTTTTACAGCACTTTCAGTGATAGTTTCCACAATTTTTTTTTTAGTCTCTAATGAATCTTCTGAAGTATTTTCATTATCACTTTTTTTAATATCAGTTATTCCATTTCTAACATTTTCATCAACATTTTCATTTATCTTTTCTTTGGGCTAATACATTTTAATTGATATATTAATTTAATTGAAATAAATCTAAACATAAATCAAACATACTATTACATTATCAACAACACCAGTAGTGTTCTTTTGATTTTTCCATAAATTTAAGTGTTGTAAATGGAATGCTGCATATTTAATAAACATCATATAACGTGTCCTATAAAAAAATATTATATTGTTTATAAAATAAAAAGAAAACTTTTCTCAAATTATAAATTCTCACTCAATAAATGAATCAATCAATTCTTGTCGGAGACAACATAATTTATGCCTATGCTGAATGGGAAATCCCAATGATTTAACTTCTTTACTAAGTACATCTTCATCAACTACCGAATAAATAATTAAATAGGTAATAATCATAAACTATGAATTAATTTTATACCACATTTTTATTGCATACAACTTACGTATAAGAAAATTCACATCTGGAGGAAAAGTTCGCAGTAAATCCAAGATATAATAACGACTATCATTTCCAATGATACCTTTACACTCTACAGAAGAACACAGTTCTACCTCTTCACTTTTGTCACTTATCACTTTATGTGGCATTATTTTTAATTGCTGTGCAGCTTGACTAAGCTGTAATAAATAAGATAATAGATATTGTATAAAGTATAAATTATCGCTATTAAATGAAAATTTTAGTATAAAATTAATAGTTACATACTAATTCAATATATTTTGAATTGGTTGTAACAGTTTTTCCAAAATCTACAGATCCATATACAACTGATTGTTCTTGTTCTCTCTCTAATATACCAGGTATAATAGATTGAGCTGTAACTCTGTATCCTCTATAATCTATAACTACAGTGCCTAATGTATACAATCCAGGTAAATCAACTGCACTATAAACTCGAACCCCTTGTAAATCATTTCTCTAAAATAGTAATTATATACATAAAAAATTGAAATACTCTTATGATAAAATAAAATTGATTAATAGTTTACATACAGGAGCAACAAAAGCAGCAGCATCACCTCCTAATTCTTTATAATGGTCTCTGACATCAAAGCCAAGAGAGAAAAAAACATTATTCCATATAAACATTTGCATTTTGGCTTCTTCACCAGGATTAATAGCCATAACATTACCATCAATAACTGCCATAGCACCTCGGGTAGCAGCTGCTACAAAATCTCCATGAACCTGCATAAAATTGGTTATACGTTTACATTTTATAATAAGTATTAATTAAAACAAACTTTAAAAATAGCTCTTTCTCTCAATAAACGTTCTGGCAGATTTTTACGTGGAAGTTCTCTAGTTGTTTGCAATTCTTCATTCCAGTCTCTAGTTTGACCAGGTATGTGTTCTTCATATCCAAGTTTTGACGAAAAAGCTAAAATATTAAAATATTACGTATTAATAAAAGTTTTTATTTTTTCCATATTAAAATAAAATTATGATCTTAATTTAATATAATAAAACACAAATTATAAAAAGGAATAAATAATATTTTCTAAAAAAAATACAAACTATCTTCAGCTCTGATTGCATCTAATGTATGTTCTAGTAATGGTGAAGCCCAACTATAAACTTGATAAGGTGTTGCAACACGTTCAAAGGGATGACGAGCAGTTCTTTTTTTTTGTAATACTGCAAAGTTTCGTTTAAATGCAGCACTCAATTGACTTAAAAGTTCGATTAAAGAATGACATAAATGATTTGGTGCAGCTGGTTTAGGATTAAATTCTTCATTAGTAGACCTAATTAAATTTAATATTACTAAATATTTACCAAGAAATTATTTTAGTATAAAAATTAGATTAATTACTGGTTAATGAAAAATCCTTTGGTACAGGCAGTAATGTGAAAATGTTTATCTTCTAAAGTAATAACATACATATACATCAAATCTCCATGCATTTTTCGAAAACCAGGTGGCGGGTTCCATGCAGATGTAGTAAGCACCTAAAAAGAACAAAAGCATTTGAAAATATAATAGAATAAATTGGTTAAAAAAATAAAATATAAATTCCATTACACTTTATTGGCTACAAAAACTCTATACTTTTTAATGGTTTTTTTAAGGCTTTTCAGTGTTACTAAGAGATATGGCTATCTATAACAAAGACAACTGCCAATCCAGAGAAATAGACTGCACATAGCTACAAATTGGTAACCATTCAATTGGTATAACAACCATAACTTAATTTGCTCTTGTTTCTATGTTGAACTATTATTTTAATAATATGTAACTGAGCAATACTAATGTTTTATAAGTCAATTAATTAAACCATTCAAGAATAGTAAATACAGACAACTATAATATCATCAATGATGTTAACCTTCTTGAATGATGTCACTTATAATAAAATTATGACAATACATATTATAATAAGAAACACATTTTTTTTTTTTTTTTTTTTTTATAAAAAAGATATATTATTAGAATGTAGTGTATGGTTAATACCTTGATGCACTGAGGTCCTTTTAAGTCTTTTGATGTTGGATGCAGAGGAAGTAAAGGTCTATCTTTATTGTTTGGCATAATGTAATCAGGAGGAGTACAGTCAACGCTTTCGGATCGCGTTTTTTTCTTTTCTATTGATGAAAATAACACATTATAATACAATAATTCAGGCAATTATAAACCATACCTAATATATCACCTTGAGTAACAACATTCAAAAATGATAGAGAATTACAATCAACACCATTGTAAGCATCTGCCATTTCTAATGATTTTAATATGTCTCTAACATGACGAACATGAATTCTAGCTTCACGCATAGTGTATGGCTCTTCAACAACCTACAAATAATAATGGAAAACATTTGATAATATTAATTGATAATTTAAACTTTTTGTTTTCTCAATTTTTTTTAATATTTTATTTCGTATCATAGAAAATTCAAACTATAATATAAATATGAACTCAAGAACGGATTTGATAAGTAAATTTAACTTTAGGTACTTTTATTCAAAAAAATATGCTAATACAAAAATGCAAGCACATCATCGAATTTAAAATGTCACATACTATTGAAGAGCTAATATGAATAAATCAGCTAAAATTTAAAAAAATATATTATTTAAGGAAAAATATTAATGTATGTTACGTATAATTTTTAAATGCAATACCTTAAAAATCATAAATAACAACTTCAAAATATGACAGTAAAAATCTAACAAAATTTACATTTCTAATGATCTATTTATGTTTGAAAAATTAATTATTCAAAATTTAACAACTTAGTCGGATTTAATAAAATATAATTATATTTGTATAAATACCTTATATTCATTTTTTCTAATCAATATTTTTACTTAACAAAGATGCTGAAATATACCTTAATAACTGATCCTTCTTTAAGTCCCTCAATAGTTTTCAACTCTGAAAAATTATCTAATGTAACTCCATTCAATTGCAATGAAAAACAAGTTCGGTGACACGTGTCCTCTCGATCCATAAGCAGTTGATGTATTTCTTGAATTAATTCCATACTAGATACCTATAAAATCATAAATTAACAAATACTATCGATGTAAGGTATTTCGCGGTTTTTAATTATTTCTGTTTTATTTGACATACTTGAATTTCAAAAGCTTCAGTTCCAGGACAGACTATTTTAACATTAAATCCTAAATCTTGTATGAAAATTATCTCAGTATCTTGTTTTTTATCATTATCTGCACTTTCTTCAGAACTATCATCACTATGGGAAACTTCATTTATTTTCATATCATTATCAGTTTTATCAACACTTTTGTCTTTTTTACTATTTTTTTTTAATTGTTTTTTACTTAATTTTTGGGATTCATTATTGTTAACGACATCAACATTGTTAACTGATACAGTATTTTTTTGAGTATTAATTCCATTATTTATATGATCACCGCTTGTTGTGTTATCATTAGGATTGCAAGCAATTCCCATATTTCCTATAATGCAACATATATATTTTAAAAACAATATACAATTAATAGATCACTAATTATATTATAATAATATAATTAGCGATTCAATTTTTTTTTTTTTTTTATTATTATTGTATAAACCTATTTTTTAATTTTAAGATAATAAAAACTATATCTAGGTACATAAGTATTTCAATATGAACTAGATACTACTTATTAATAATATTTAGTTAAAAAAATTAACCTTTATGATTTTAAATATATATTTGATTTAAAAGGAAATAAAGAATTTTTAAAAAACAATAACCACTAAAAATAAAAATTAATTAAATAAATACCTTACAAGATACGTAAAAAAGCCTAAACTTACACCGATATCATAATAATTTATTTTTGAAAATTAATTTTTGTAGAATTGTTTTATTTATTCGACCTTAAGTAATTTTGATATTAAAAACCAACAGTATAATAAAAGAGTATATTAAAAATAAAAGACATAATATATAACTCTTTAATCGTTCTGAGTTATAACACGCATAAAATAATTAGGTATACCATTTAATTGCTGTTCGTTTGAATTGGTTAAATTTCCCTCCTTGACTTCTAGTGTCATTGCAAATGGCTTCTAATCTTCTCTATGAAATATAAAATTACTCAGCCGAGGGAATATAAACTCAGTTATAAGATTTCATAACAAATTTTATAATAACAGTTATAACATAGGATAAAATTAAACTAAAATTTTTAAAATTTGGGAACAAATACAAATAATTTTTTAAAACGTGACAGTGAAAATTAAAAACATCGTGTTAAGATTTTCAATTTTTACATGAAGAAAAGGAAGACAAAATAATTATTGTAGAGTGATCAGGGGAAATGGTAACTTACCGGATCAGTATAGCCAAATACACGGAAATTATTTTAGTCCCTAAATTTACCACATATTTTATTCTACTTATCAAAAAAAGAAAATTGTATCACTTATTCAAATATGATTGTGTGATAAGAAAAATAAAATGTTATAATACCTCTTTAAATTACACTTTTACCTAAGCTTGAATTTAGATTTAAAATCTCTTTAGGTAAAGTTACATAAATTTCTAGACTCACTATCAATTTTTTAGTATTATAAACGTACATTTTCAAGTAAAATAATATTCTTAATTTTATTATTACTTCTCAACAAAATGAAAACCAAAATCACAAGTTTTTTAAAAATGACAAGAACTATGGATCAATCATGTGTACGTAAGGCTACCACTTCATCTACTGGGGCTTTATTACCCGAACCACAAAAAATTCCATTTGGCCTTATTGGTATTATTTGCACTGTTGTTCCGGGATTATTAATTGGAGCAACTATAAGTAAATACATGGCTAATTTCCTCGAGGAAAATGAGTTATTTGTTCCATCTGACGATGATGATGATGATGATTAAAACCTTAAGTTCATTATTTATATTCTAACTCTATATATAAGTATTACTTAAAACTTGCACTATAGTTATTACTCATTACTAATTTATTTTGTTATTATGTTATAGTTTATATTGTGTTTATATATCTTTAAATAAATTAAATATATGTAAATGTAGTAATAAAGTAAATAAATCTCAAATATTATACTGTTTACACAGAAGTTTAAATTGTATTATCTTCTACAAGTTATTTATTAAAATTGTTATTTTTGTGTTCATTGAATTTTATTGTCAATATTTAAGGATAAGTATTTTTTAACTAATGAAAATATTTTGCTTATTCTCATTTAAATTGATAATTAAATTACTTTTATGAGTTATATAAGCTCTCTAGTTGTATAAAATATCAATACCTTCAGTTTTTATTGAACTATTATAGATTATTTAAAAACTCAAAAAATTTTATTTTAATTTCATAAATAAATTTAAAATGTTTTACTTTTAACTATTTGTAAACCTAGCTATTAATAAATCAATTTCTTTTTTACGTTCCTTAAAATATCTCTTTTCCCTGTTTTTAATATTTTACTAATAATTTGATTATTACATTTGATACTTACATTACAATTTATTAAGCTTCTTAAATTTTATTTGTGATAATTTTGTTTGTTTTTTACCATTTCTTAACTAATTACTAATATTAAAATTATTAAAAGTAATGTATAATTTTTGTTCGATTTTTATCTATATATTGTATTGATTATTAACAAAAATTCATGTTACGCAAAAACAGTTATTAAATAAATTCTGTAACTAGTCAATTGTTGGTCTTCTTCAATTAATATTTTCCTTCCCTTTAAATAATTTCTTATTATAAATTATTAATTTTATTTTACATTTTTAACATTAATCATATTTCTAAATATAATTAGAAATTCATAGATATTGATATCTTACTTACACATCATATAATCATTATAAGTTGAGTATCAAAGAGAAAAATCAAAGGTGACCAAGTAAATTTAAACATATGTACAAAATAATACTTACATAAGCATAATATATATATATATACAGTAGAGCCTAGATAGTCCGGACGAATTCAGACCGAGCAACGTCCGGATTACCAGAGCTTTCTCAAGATTACCTACTCAAATGACTAAGATTTTTTAATTTCACAATCTTTATATTTATTGCATTTTAAATTATAAGAATAATAAACAACTTAAATTAAAACTAAACTAATGAATTACAAAAAAAAAAAAAATGTTTATAATATGTAGAATTTAAGTATAATAATCGGTAATTTTTTTCTGAATAGTACTTTTAATTTTCATTTCAAAAGCGAGTTCTCTTAATCGACGTACCAACAAAATATCAGTGCTATCCATGTTCTCATCTTCCGCCCATTGCAATACAGTATTCAGTGCATTCACAGCTTCTGAAGGAGAAACTTTACTTGTACTGATTGAGCCACTTTTATCCTCGTCGTCAATATCATCCTCTTTTGCTGCAATTTGTAGAATTTGATCATCAGTTAAGATTTCATGATTCGCTAAATCTTCTTCTGCGCCACGGCAAGCCCATTCCTGTGCTTGAGAATCAGACATTTTATTCGTACATGTTTCCTGTTTATCTGGTTTATGAGCGTAGAAAGTTGAATGTCATTAATTTCAACAACTTCGTCAATTTATTTTCTGTTTGGAAAAGAAGGAAGTGTTTCCACGATTTCTTTATGAGCATTGGCGGGACCAATTTCCAACAATTTACAAGACTAAAAACTGCGTCTTTTAAATTTATGGCCTTTAGAGCATCAATAAGGTTTTCACCATGCACCGGATCAGCAAGAACATTGACTAAGAGAGACTTACGATAGTTTAATTTAATATTCTGAATTACATTTTGATCCATCGGTTGAATAAGCGCTGTAGTATTAGGGGGTAAAAACATTGCAAAAATGTTGCCATCTTCACTACGTAATTCTTCTGCTGATGGATGTCCAGGGCAATTATCCAACAATAATAAAGCTTTTGGAGGTAAATTTACATTTAAAAGGTGCTCACGAACTACAGGAACAAATAGTTTTTGAAACCAGTCTAAAAATAAAACACGAGTGGCCTAAGTATTTTTTTGTCCACGATAGTATACGGGAAGGTTAACTGATTTAAACGCACGTGGTTTTTGTGCAGTCCCAATGACGAGTAAAGGCAATTTATGTGTTCCACTTGCATTAGCACAAGGCATGAATGTTATTCTAGCCTTATTTTTCTTCCAGGGGCGTTTTTCTCATGACTTGATGTCAATGTATGCTCTGGTAAAATTCGCCAGAATAAACCGGATTCATCAGCGTTATAAATTTGTTCTAGGTCCAAATTGTTTTCATTTATGACTCGCTGTAACTCATTTCGAAATGGTTCGATTGATGCTTCGTCACATGAAAGTTTCTCACCCGTTATTTTAAGGCGCCTAATACCATGACGATGTTTAAAATTGTTTAGCCAACCTCTACTAGCAGTGAAACCATCTTCCTGCTTTGTTATTTCACGGTGAAATAAACGTGCTTTTTCGCAAATTATTTCACCACTTATTGGAATATGTCGTCTCCGCTGTTGCATAAACCATATAAATAAAGCATTTTCGAGAACAAGATTTTCCAGTTCTTTTAAAGTTTTACGTATGCCTGGACCACGTTCAGTTGTGCTGACAAACTTCATAATTTTCTCTTTATTTCTTTTTATGTCACCAACAGTCGATTTACCTATTCCGTACTTCTCAGCAATCATACTATAGTTCTGGCCATTTTCCATTAGCTTAATTATTTCAATTTTTTGATCTAAAGTCAAAGTTACGTGTTTACTAAAAGCCATTGTACAAACAAGAATAATAACCACTCGACAAGAAAGAAGTAAACGAAATGACCATCGGGCATCGATTTATTACCTACATATGTACATATTGGTCTTTACTAGAAACAGTAGGTAATAAAAATGACGAAATTGTATTTGTCGATAACAATATCTTATGCATAGATTAATTGGGTTCCGGGAATTCTCGTAAAATCTATTTACGAACAAATGGAATTTTGCCGTCAGGATTATCGCGTTCACCGGATTATCGGGGGTCCGGACTATCGAGGCTCTACTGTATATATATATATATATATATAAAAAAAATATAATGTTCTGTGAAAATACTGTTTTTTTGATTCAATGAAATGTAAGTTGGATTAAGTACATATTGATATTTTTTTCTTTCATTAATACACTTTTGTACTTGAACATATTTTATATTATCAGATTTGCTCTAATTTCAAATAATGGCTTGCGCAAAAGAAAGTTTATTAGTACAGATTTATTATACATAATTTTTTTTTTTTTTTTTTTATTAATTAAGAACTTCCAGTATAAACTATTATAGTTTGACAATTAAAATATTGATAGATAACGTGATACAATAGCTGAATTGATAATTAAACATAATGAGCATAATAATTTAATAATAAATATGAATATAATATCAGATAAAAAGTAAACAGAACGGAGTATTAGTGTGTTTAATAACAACGTAATATTAAAAGTAAATGCCCTAATTAATTAATTATTAATAAAGCGGAAAGAAAAGAATTTATTAAGGATGTTAAATCAGATAGGAATTTTGAAATAGCTAAATTTAAATTTGAGTTTTGCGAATTAATGTTCGGTTTTAAACCAAAAGTAGCAGCAGCATATGACGGGATGGATTGAGAGGGATCACTGGGGAGGGACTTGGAGAATAAGTTTTTTGTGTGTGTGATATTTTTTTTGGAGTTGGAAAATTTGATTTTATGGCGATTTAAAATAGTTTGATAAAACTGGCACCCCTTGAAGCTGGCTATATGATTTTCGGAGCAGTGGACGCATTTAGCTGGACTGAAGTGATCCTTGGTGCAGCTATCTGACTCATGAGCCTCGCCGCATTTGACGCAACGCGATTGATGATGGCAATAGTTTTGCGTGTGACCATAGTCTTGACAATTGAAACATTGCGGCGGACCGTATGTCTTTTTATTCGGTTTTTCAATCACTACTTTCGTGTTTAGTAATGAAGTATGTAGATATGTTTATTATTAATATTGGGTTCGATATCGACAAAAAATATTGGGAGAGGACAGTTGTTTTTTTTTACATTATGGACATTCCTCACTAGGTGTCCTTCTTCCGATAACTCGGACGAAATATCGGCACTGAGAGTGGAATGATGGAGGTTTCTGATAACGATCCTGAGTGGACGCTGACAATGAGGACGAAAAGTATGGAAACTGGCGTTAGTTTTCATCAAATAATTTGACAATAAGTTGAAATTAACGCGACCGTTGGGACGGACGATAAGGTACGAAGGAGTGGACTTACATGTAAACCCCTTGGAGCCGACGGTCTTAATTAATACATCTTTGAATGCGGAAAAGTTATTGATGTTCCTAATATAGATAGGTGGAGCCACAGGCTCTGCCTGGTCAGAAGGGAATGATGAAGGTACAGTGACTTCGCAGGAAGGTGGAGCCGCATCGAACACAGTGTCATCGTTAGTGTTAGTTGAGGCGAGAACAGCGAAACGGTTTGGTGAGGTGAAAGTTTTGGTCTTTTTCCCCTCGTGAAGAGGAGAATTTGGAGAAGTACTGGATAATACTCTTTTTGATGACGTCTTCGTACGAGGTGGACTTTTACCGGAACGAATCATAATATGATATACATTGAAAACGAAAACGTAATTTACGTAATTAAAATACTGATAACGGAGCGAGCCTAAGAGCATGTGTTCATGATGAACGTTATCGCCAGACTGAAACATCATTTTTATTTAGTGATTCTACGACCTTCATTAAAAAATAAACACTTTATTTAGCTTATCTAAGGAAATGTTGCTATAAAAACTAATTAATATAATTATAAAAATTATGTTTTATGTAAATAGGATATCTACAGCAAATATTTAGTATGATAATTGTTTTAAATTTTCAGTAGATTTTTAGGAATCCTTAAAATTAATTAATAAATAATAATAAAGTATTGAGCAATGTTTCACATAGGTACGGATGTTTTTTTTTTTTTTTTACTCATATTATCTATAATATATATTAATTAAAAACCTAAAAGGTTTGAATTACATTTTAAATTTGCTAAAATTATTGATTTGGACACAATCGATGTTAATTAAATAGTATTCTTGACTTGTTAAATATATTAATTGTAATTACTATTAATTACATTTTTCAAATGAAAAATAAATTTTAATTAATTACAATATATGAGTAATTTATTTTAACACTATAATACATTTTAATATTTAATATATTACTTATAACCTAAATATCTAGTTATAATATATATATTTTTTTTATACAATAAATAAAAATAATATTTGTATTAAAAATATGTTAAATATAAAAAAATATAAATAGGTATGTATTATGAATTACAACCAAATAAAAAATTTGCTGCATTTTTTGGATATCCATATTCTGTCCTGTTGTTATTATGGTTAAATTTCCAAAACTGATTCCCACTAAAGAAATATACATCTCCTGAAAATTAAAATCATCAATTACACAATTGTATTCTTAGTACTTATACTAATTAACTATATATAATCTTTATAACTAAGTTGTCAGTGAATTGTGGTTTATCATGTAATAAATTACTTATTAATTAGTTTCTTTTCTTTTCTCAACCATAAATTCTATGAAAACTATAGTGGTTTCTATTTTTTGTAGTCTCATATTTTATCAACACAAACAGTGCTGGATTAACAAATTTACCGCATGGGGGCAGATTTAAAAATTCTGCACTCAACCCCTCCACAAACCAATATATAACACCGGTAGTTTTTTAAATTTATAGACCTTAGTAGGTACTAAATATAAACATTTTAATAAAAATGTATTCAATATAAGACATTTACAACTATTTTTTAGCTTTCTGTGCAGCAAACTTTTTAATAATATTATTCCAACCTACACTTTTTAGGAAAATATTTACAATAGATATTAGAGACAACAATGACATAATTTCATTAGATAATAATGTTTTCTTGTAGTTCTTGACTAATTTTAAAACTGAGAAGGATCTTTCTCCGCTAGAATTTAAACATAGTATAAATATAAAAAGTTTTATAGCTATTTCCACAATAGGAAATGATTCGTAACTTATTAACATAATAACTTAACTTACTAACTTCGATATTGCTAATATTTCAAAAAAACTGTGCATAGATAATTTTTCATCTTCTGAAAAATATTTCATTATTGTTTCAAATTGTATAATCTCATTCTCAAGTTTCGGTAATAAACACTATACATATTTACTAATTGTTTTGATTTTTCTTGTAAAACATCGTCAATTCTTTCCACATTTAAAAAAAAACCCAAACAATCCATTTATTTCAATATATGCACTTCTATGCGCTTTCCACTCATATTGTTTGAAGATAAAATATTAGGCACGTTAATTTTCCAGTCAATCGAACTCGACGACGACAACTATGACCACGAGAGTCAAGTGAGAGAGAGAGAATAAAAACAATTGCTTAATAGTGTGTAAATAAATTATTTGAATGTATTAATATCAAATTTAATAATCTGATGGTTATAAATTATAATACGCACATAGAGGTATATAAGAATTACAATAAATACAATTTTATGTCAGTGTAATACCTCATTTACATTCAGACCATTTTCGTGTCAGTGAGCAGGGAAGTGGGCATGGAAATGGGCAGCACGAGTATGTGAACACGTTACTCGCGCTGATCATGCTCCTCGCATTGTCACTGCCCGTCGCTCCCGTTAGGAGCGGTAAATTGAGCAGTGCGAGCAGCAGGTTAACCGACAGCGTGATATTAGCACACATTAACAGGGCAATGTAGACGCTCACTACCTACAACGCTGCCACTGAAGTATTTTGACAATGAAATACAGCAGCGCGAGGAACAGCGGCAATGGCTGAATGTAAATGGGGTATAACAAAAATAAAAATGCATAGGTCCGAGCGTTAAATAATAATAATATGGTTTTACCCTTAATATGTTAAACGCCCACAGACGAAATAACTCAGCGGTTTAATATAATATAAAATAACTATTGTAATATTATATAATTGTTACTAATATTTTTCAATTATAAATTCATAATTTTTCCTAAAAACTAGTATTTACACTAGAAAATTTCAAAACTTTTGTTGACGCCGTCAAAAAATTGGCGCCCGCACAGCTGCCCCCTTTTAACCCTTTTAACCTCTTAACCCGGAACTAAACACAAATCTAAACCTATTCAACCTATTTGGTTTCATTTTATCTGTAACTCACGTTTCTTATAGAATACCTCATATATTTGTATATTTGTATTTTTTTCTCTTTAGCCCCTATCTCCATATATCCATATAACCATATAAGTATCCAGTATACCTATACTATCTAGTATTTATCAATAACGTCACCTAGTATCTATACTACTTAGAAACTATAGTCCAGCATCTATCCTAGCATTTTTAATATCAGTTACATACACAAATTAAGAAATTTTAATATTTTTTATTACATACAACCTGTGTACCGTCCTATCTTCTATAGATGCCTAAAATATTGTTAAATCCACTTCCACACAACATTGCTGTCTTCACTACTACTCTATAATACCCACAGGGTTGAATGCATATTTATACTCAATATTCTTAATGTATTATGGAAAATATCAGTTCTTAAATAGCTTATATATTTTAACAACAAATACTAAAAATAAATAGAAGAACTTTAAAGGGCTTAATCCTCTGAGCAATCATAAACACTTCCTAAGATTTCATAAAAACTTATATTAAAGGTGGAAGTTGAAGAATTGCTGCTTTTGGTTTTTGAAACCTTTTAGGCTCAAGCCTTATACCTTTGAGGCATATTCTATTTACATGCATGGACATACCTATAATGAAAATTAAATAAACATAATATTAAAATATTTACCATGATTTAATGTAAGGACATCATCTATTGGTGTTCTTATTCCTTTAAAATGCTCCTTAATTGATTTGTGTCTTTGCAATAGTACTTTTTGTCGATCATCATATATCCAAAAATATTCTCCGCTTAAAAAATATTTTCAAAAGAAAATATGATTAAAATAATTATACCTTAAAAACTTGTTTTGATTGTTGGCTTTGTTACTTAAGTTTTGTAGCAAAAATATCAAGTGATAATAAAATTTAATGTTCAAGCAGGGATGCCAGGGGGGGGGGCCATTGTCCATCCCACAATTTTTTATATCAGTTACAAAATGAGAAGTTTTTTTACATAAAGCTGGGGTCGACTCTTATAGGGTACTTATATTTAATTAAATATTTTTTGCTTATACTTTATATTCTTCATATAAATATTTGAACTAATAGTAAAATGTAATACCAGTGATTATAAATAGAATATACTATTTATAATCAATGATAATACACATTAACTAAAATTAGTCTTGATTTTTACAATATTATTACCTAATGATTATTATGAAACATGGATAGATGAAAAATAAAGTGGCAAATTTTCCCATGGCTATTAATTACTTAAAAAAATTTGTTATCCCACTATATTTTCCTGAAAGTACAGACAATCATAATATAAATATCTTGTTTATAATACGCATTTCAAATCCAAATATTCAAAATATACATTAAAAAAAAAAAAATTGTTCTCGTATAATATATTTTTAATTTAATCATATTAAATAAAACTACCTAAAAAGATAAGTCAACGGTGGTTCTCCGAAAACCGCAACTCCATTAACTTTTTTAACAAAACCTGGGAATCCATAATCCATTAAGGATCTAGGACTATTTTCTATTAAATGGTTTCCATTGAAAACATAATATTTATCACCTAAAATATTAAAAAAAAAATTATTATTTATAATGCAATAGTTTTGTATTGTATAATATTTTAGTAATTTTTTCATAATACAAGTAAATCAACTGATTAAACATTTCTAGCTATATAAATAAATTTTTTTAATTTTCTCAAAATACCTAGTGTTATTATTCCTCAACAGTTAGCATATGGCATTAACACAATATCACTTAAACTTTTCAAACCAAATAAGACCTTAGATAAAGTATAAGGATTTATTCACCAATAATGCAACACCATTTAAATTGAATATGAAAATTTTAAATTCAAAACTAATTTGAATTAGGTTAAATTTAAGTTAAAGCATTCATGCTCCAAGAACAAATAAAACTATGGGAATTTGTGAAATTAGTGTTCCTACACTTATCTATAAAAGCAATGCCTTAAGTATTATTTTAATTTAAACTTATTTTGATCATATATATCTAAAATCTTTATTGAAAAATAATTTAGTATTTATGTGAATCAATGGAAATCAAAAAAATTAATAAATTTATAGATTTATATAGTTAGTTCCTATCTAATTATTAGTTATATTTCAATGTTTCATACCTAATAAGTACGATAACTTACCATTAAACATTACAATATTTGAGTCTGGTCTTTCATATGCTGCATCAATTTTAACAATACTGTGATCATGATCAGCCAATACTTGGAAAAACCTTAATAATTGAACAGGATATCGTGGTAAAATTGATCCTGGCTTATCCAGTCTCCATAAGAGCTTAATTTTATTAATAAATAAGTAAAACAATTTTCATTATTAATCACCAATCGGTATAATTTATATAAAATTGGTTTGGATATTATAATTTAGTTGTTTATTACATTGTTTATAGATATTATTTTAGAAACTAATAGCATCTATAAACAAAAATTTCCATCTTAAATCTCAAAATATCTGTTTGAGTACCTCTCGGGGTTAGGCCTATCACTTTTTAACTTGGCCAATCTTCTACCCATAGGTTTATATCTCTGTATCAAATTTTGTCGCAATCGGTCCAGCCGTTTAGGAATGCATAAAGGACAAACAGACAGAAATCCATATTTATGTATATAGATAATAAGATAATCGTGTTGAAAATTTCATTTTCTCAGTATTAAAAGGCATATTTTTATGATTATTATAAGTAAAAATTTATGATTTATATTATAATATAAAAATTGTGTACATACGTTATTCTTAAACACAAAAATTTCTCCTCGAAAACATGAAACAGCATCAAAATTACCATTGCACTTATCTATTTCATCATATATTTGAGTTGAAATTTCAGGTTTATTAGTAGTAAAAGATTCTGGTGTTACAATGTCTTCATCAGTACATGTTTCATGACTAAATGATGACCAATGAACATGCGGGTTTCTAGGTAAATTACGATGCGGTAGAGAAGTTGAAGATGAAAAATACAAATTATCTTCAGGTAATGTTCTAGCAACTGAAATTCGTTAATAGATAATTTCTAAAAATAAAATGTGTAAATGGTATTAATCACCAACTACACTTTTTTTTTATGTACAAGTATCGTTTAACTAGTAGTTTTACTAGTAGTTAACTAGTAACCAAAATAAAATGGCCCTTACATTCTGCAGTATACTTATCTAATAAAAATCGATTTATTACTACACAAACTATACTATATTCTTAGAAGGTACTTAGTAAAATAGATTTTGAGAACTTTCATAAAGTATGTAGCTTTATGTTAATATTATTAATAATTGAATAGCCAATGGATATTCATTTCAATTAATGAAATTAATTGGCATAATGAAGTGTTACTTTTTTAAATAAGTGATGTATGTAAATAAAATAATAATATAAAATTTTAGCTACAACTCATTTATGTTGAGTACAGGAAAAAAACCATAAAAGTAAATTTTTTTTCGAAATGGCGACTTTGGTATCAAATTAGGTATTTGTATAGGTATTAGGTATAGACGCATTCTATCTTTCAAGTGGTCAAATCTGGGAAAAAAATCAGGCAAGTAATTTCATACAGGGAAAGAACCAGACAGACAAGTGATTCATTTTATTTGATGATTAAATTTTATATAAATTTTAATTCCAAAAACTCAATAAGGTACTCGTGATATTATACTGATCTAAACTGATTTTAAATTATTGTTGTATACAGATAAATGTAACTATAAATTTATTTAATATAAACTACTGTTTGGCAATATTACTAGCATCGATTAACAAATTTGCCACATGGAGGAAAATTTAAAAATTCCGCACTTCAACCCCTCCACAAATCAATATATATATATATGCATACAACAAGTAACAACATAGTTGAGATTTAATTTATATTTATAAGCATATTGTAATACCGGTAGTTTTTAAATGTATAGATCATAGTAGGTACCTACTAAATATAAACATTTTAATACAAATTTATTCAATATAAGACATTTACAACTATATTTTAGCTTTCTGTGCACAGGGCTCGAAATGGACCGGAACGCACCGGAACGCAGTTCCGGTTCACGACAAAAAAATTTTTAGCGTTCCGGTTCGTAAAAAAAAAATACGTTTATCGTTCCGGTTCAAACAAATTTTTACTGTACCTACCATATTTCTGTAAAATTTAAACATTTTGCAGAATTGTGCATTGTAAAATATTTAATAAACGACAAACGACCGCAACGCATTAGTAAATTTATTGCTTATCTTTAGATAATCGTTGTCCGCCGATAGTGTAGTTATTGTAGTTATTGTCTATATTCACACGATACGCATCTATGTGTATTTTTAACGTACGATAAGAAATACTATGGAACGGCACCATACGACGGTTTGACATCCCCACGTGCCCGCAGTTTTGTACATACGTTCCCGCAAGTTAGCCGGAAATTCTTTATCAAACGTAAAAGTTTTGATTTTTCTGAGTGGCAGCAAATCATGTGATCATATTGATACCCGTATGTTTTGATTAGCTTTTAGTATCATTTAAGCTGCAGTAATACATGTATTATATTTTGCTGATCATTAATTACATTAGTTTATAGCATATATTATTCCGTGCGAAAAATATGAGTTCTTCTATACTAAATTGGGTAAATAAACGTTCTAAGTCCAATGATGAATGTGATAATTCGACAAATAAAAAACTGTGCGTTGAAAGTGAACATACATCATCTAATAAAGAATCAAATAAAAATATGGAACTTCACGAAACTAGTGATTTGCCCGAATGTTGGAATAAAGGTCAGTACGAACATTTCAAGACTATAAATGAGTGGCTAGTAGTTAAAAATAAAGCATTAGGTTGTTTGATTTGTAAAAATATAACAAATTTAGGATTATCTGTTGTTGATAAAACTCTTCGCTTTTCCAAACCTTGGCAAGACTGTTCTATAATTTCGAATGGAAAGTCAAAAGAAAGTCAAATGTCTAGTTTGAGAAAAAAAATATTTGAACACAAAAAATCTGACGCTCATCTTAGAGCAGTAGAATTACATGAACAATCAAAAGAAAAACAAATAGAAAAAAATTTCGAAAATGCATTGAAATCAAAGTTCTCTACTACTGAAAAAGTTTTTAGAACTGTTTATAAAATTGTAAAAACTCAAAGGCCTTTTGTTGATTTACCAAATGAAATAGATTTACAAGTTTTAAATGGTATAAATATGGGAAACATTTTACATTCCGATAAAACGTGTGCGGATATAGCACTCCACATTGCATCAGAGATGAAAAAAATTATTTGCCAAAATATAATTTTAACTAAAACAAATATATCTATTTTAATCGACGAATCAACTACTCTTAGTAAATTAACAACATTAGTAGTTGTTGTTCGTGCATTTATTGAAGATTTTCCCGGTGAACCTTATACTTTTAATCTTGACTTAATTGAACTCCCTAATACCTCTGCTGAAACTATTACTAAATCATTACTTGATTGTTTGGGTGGACACGGATTTGATCAAATTTTTTTAAATGAATGTTTTATTGCTTTTGCATGTGACGGAGCTTCTGTTATGATCGGAAAAGAGTAACCACGTGACTTAAAATTCAATTTCCTAAATTAATTATTTGGCATTGTTCAAATCACCGTTTGGAACTGGCAGTAGGTGATGTTATTAGCGAAGTTTGTGGTATAAACCATTTTAAAATATTTATGGATAAACTTTATACTATATTCCATCAGTCACCTAAAAACCAAAACGAGTTAAAAAAAGCTGCTAGTTCATTAGAAGTACAAATTTTGAAAATTGGTAGAATTTTGTCAGTTCGATGGGTAGCATCAAGCAAACGGACAGTTAATGCAGTCATAAATAATTTTTCTACTTTGTGTGAACATTTCAACTTGGCGTCAATGGACTCTACCAGAGACTCTAAAGAAAGAAGTAAATACTGTGGATTGTTTAAAATGATAACAAGTATAGAATTTGTTAGTAATTTAAATACCATGTCTGATGCTTTAGACGAATTAGGAGATTTATCAGAATATTTACAAAAACGTAGTATTACATTAGTAGACGCTGATAAATCTATAAGAACAACAATACGTGTATTAGATTCTATAGCAACCGATCCAGGTCCAAAATTAACTAACGCGTTAAAAGAAATAAATAACGAAATGTCGTATAAAAATGTAATATTACACAGTGGCAATGTTCCTAAAATAAATTCTGCACAATTTTACAAAAGCCTAGCTAATAATTTAAAATCTCGAATGATGACTTCCAGTTCATCAAATGTCAGTCGTAATGAAAAACATCGCCAAGACAATGAAAAAACGTTTAAAACCTTACTTGATAATATTGAAAAATTGAATCCAAAAAATTGGCCTCTTTCGAATGATGGCCAAATAGAAAACATACAATTTGGTGACTGTAATATTCGTAATTTATGTCAACAATTTCAAATTGATGAAAAGAGCACTATTCAAAGTTTTAGAATTTATAAAATGGACTTGGGCAAAAAGGAAATTCCAGAAGATTTGAAACCCCTTTATAAATCAATTGCAATGATTCCAGTATTGACTAGCGAATGTGAACGAAATTTTAGTTCTATGAAATCATGTCACCACTAAGAACTTCATTAAATATAAAAACTGTTGCTGCTTTTTTATTTATTAATTGTGTTGGACCACCTCTAACGAAATTCGAACCAGAAAAATACGTTTGATCTTGGTTATTGAATGGTCGACATTCAGCTGATGATACCGCAAGTCGTAAAAGAAACCAAAAGTGTGATAAGACATATGAATCATTGTGGAAGTTATTGTAAAAAAAATTGTATTGATGCTGTATTTTTTGAGTTATAAATATAAAATTTAAATAAAAATAAGTTTATAAATTATAAGTAGTTCTTTAAACATTTTATATTTATATTTTTATTTTATATAATATATACATACATATTCATAAGAAAGTAAAAGAAGATAAAAATATATTTAAATTTTTAAAAGGGCTGAAATTTTAAAGTGAGTTTCATAAAATAGTAGATAAAACTTATATATTATTAAAAAAGGGTTAGTATTTGAGGAAGAAGAAATTTTAATTGTAGTTGGGTGAAGCCTCCAATTCTATGATATGTACTCAAAAAAAAAGCGTTCCGGTTCAGAAAATTTTCCATTTCGAGCACTGTCTGTGCAGCAAACGTTTTAATATCATTCCAACCTATACTTTTTAGGAAAATATTTACAATAGTTATTAGAGACAACAATGACATATTTTCATTAGATAATTATGTTTTTTGGTAGTTCTTGACTAATTTTAAAACTGAGAAGGATCTAGAAAATTTCAAAACTTGTTGACGCCGTCAAAAAATTGGCGCCTGCGGCAGCTGCCCTCTTTACCCTCCCCCTCTTAACCCAGAATTGAATATTACTATTACGATCATTATCGAAAACGGAATCGCATTTGTGTTTTCACATCATGAATAGTGAAAAATATGTAGTAGGATCAAAAAGTTCCCGGAAATCAAAAATTTCATTTTATTTTTTTATATATATACAATTTAAATATAAATCTATTTAATCTCCTTCAAAATATTGTCCTTCAGCACAGACATACTTATTCCAACGACTTTGATACTGCTCGAAACATCTATTGGAATGGCTCTGAGATACGCTATCACGTTAACTGCAATCGTCCCAAAATGTTCACTTTTGAGTCCAAGTTTTAGGTTAGAAAACAGCCTGAAGTCACATGGATATCTGGTGAATACGGGTAAGTAATTGTGGATATTCCTACAAGACATATGTATAAAATATACAGGAAGTCAATTCATATTAAAAAAATTACACGTTGACTTTGAAAAGGCTGCTCACCAAGCCGCGTATGAAGTTTTTGAAAATGTACAATTAATAGCTTGTCGATTTTATTTAGGCCAATCATGGTGGCGAAAAGTAGGAACAAAATAATTTCAAATCAAATAATCATACATTAATTGTATTCTTAATTATTATAGATAAACAGCGATTCTATTCTCAGAATAGCCTATAAAAAAGAAAACGGTGAACTAGGAAATTGAATAAAGAGTTTTTTTGGGGTAGCTTTTCTTCCCAGTCATGAAGTAGCTGATGCATTCGTCGAACTCATGAGTGTCTGTCCAAATGATAGAGTCTGCTCAGAATTTAGCGATGACAAATCTCCATTTCCCCCAAATATGTGGGCTAAAGAACCTATGTTTGATCCAAGGTAGATCATCTAAAATCTAATTATTAAATACAAAAAAAATGTTAATTTAATTTCAATGAACTATATTTTTTATAGAACAACAAATGCGGTTGAACGTTTTCATAAAATTTACAATTCACAATTCTACAAGTCTCACCCACACATACACTTGGTAATTATGGTTTTACAAGAAACTCAAGCTGAAACGATGACGAAAATTCGGTCAATTGAAACTGACTGTCATAAAAATATGAGTTTTATTGAAATGCAAAAAATTAATGCAACTATTATGGCTTACAATGAATATTTAAAAAATAAACATTCTTAAGATTTACTGAAATATTTATTAAAAGTGGGAAATAAGTATTTAGGGATACCAATTTAATACGTTGACATATAATAAAAATTGTATAACATAATACAAATATTATTTATTATATTAAGCATTTTTTATTTTATCATATGAATTGTTTTTTTTACATTCATTTTTATTTGAAAAAATGATATTATGAATTACATTTAAAAATTAAATTTTAGATTAATCTGTGTTGGACATAAATTATATAAATATATATGTAAAATTATTTAATTTTATAGTTTTATACTCTAATAAATTCTTTGATGATTATTATAAAATAATTATCGTAAATATTTCAATATTTTTTTAAATTATTATTCTGTTGTGTGGTACGGCAACGTTGTACGTATTTTTATGCTCAATCGTGTTGCATTTTGGATTTCTATTGTTTAATTGTATCTGTGCTCAATCGGATAGTAAAAAAGGTAAGCTGTGCTCAATCGGATTCCAACCCCGACAAAAGACCAAAATATCCCGATTGAAACTGTGCATTGCAAATTTCACTTTATTGCATACAAATATGCATGACATATTCATACCATACATGAACATGATCGAAAATAAAAAATTTTGTTTTTCAACTTGTTACATGTTCTTGTACAACTAAACGTATGCAATTAAAATCCAATTAAATCGGTCATATCGATAATATAATAATCGTTAGGTATCGTTTGTTTAAAGGTGCGTTTACATTAGAGCCCGAACACGAACGAACGCAAGTGAATGCTACCAAACGAACTAATGTAAACGGTGAGGCCGAACGCGAACGAACGCATTCGTTCGCCCCAAGAGCGCAGTGGTCAAAAAATTAAAAAAAAAGGAAAAAATGTTGAAAATGATTATTGGAATTAACTATTTTTAAAAGTTGATTTGTATTCTATATGAGAATGAACATTTAATCTAATAGCTATTAGTTTAATAGAACCACTTTTAGTGAAGATAATACATCGCTTAATGTTTGCGATAACAAGATATAGTATTTTTCGTATAACTCACACTCACAAAACTCTAAGTACTCATTTCTTCCCGACATTTGTTCGAAGATATTTAATATTTAATCGACATATTTGGTACCAGTGGAAAGCTTATAAGGTAAGGAAAATAAATTTACTAAAATTTATATTTTTATTTACCTAGAACATATTATTTTAATTAGTTAAATTATATTTAAAATACGTTTTTATTGTACATAAAAATCTAAAATAGTCGTCGTTTTTAAAAAAAGTAGCGTGAAGTAGTGTGAGAGCGTAGGTTAAGTATAATTCTATAATTTGTCTTAAATAAGATTTCATAATTTCCAGCTGCCCGTATTTGCCCAATTTTTTATAAATAATTTTTGTTTAGAATTTGTTGAATGAAATGGAGTCAAAATTAACACACCGAGATTTATACTTCAAAATATTAGATTTAAAATCTAACAAAAATTATAAAGTTGAGGCCCTCTATGATTTTGTTCTATGTAAAGTGGATTATGTGAAAGAGCAATCTGAAAATTATCAAAGTGATTTGAAAAAAAAAATTGCATATTTTTATGGACGAATTTGATAAACGATGGCAGAAATGCAATAGAACGAAAAATCGGTTTGACACAATTTTTGAAACGTGGCTAAACAAAAAATTTATTTTTTCTGAAGTTTCAAAAAGTTTACCAATGTCCCATATAGGACGACCAAAGGTGCTTTTCTCTAAAGCGTGTGACAAGACAAAAAGGCATAAAACCCAGACATTGCGTACGTCGAACTCAACAGAAGAACTTGTTTATGCGGCACAGTTAAGTTTAAAAGAAACCGGAAATGTCGATGCTGCTAAATTATTAAAAGAAGCGACGTCTACTACTCATACTCGTGCTTTGAACATTCAAAGGGCGTATACTGCATTTCAAAATGTTAAACCAGTTCAAATGTATTCTGAAGAAGATGCATTGGCATTAATTATAGATGCTAAACTCACCAAATCACAGTACACATTAATACGATTACAGGAAAAACAGAGAAATGCAAATATATATCCTGCATACAATAAAATACTCGAAGCGAAGTCCCAATGTTATCCCAAAAAAGACCAAGTATTAATTACAGAAATATCTGCGGAAGCAACTCTGCAATCGTTATTGAACCATACTGTACAACGAATATTTCAGTCTATTGAAAATTTATCAGCATACGAATTTAAAAATAATACAGTTGTTTTGCTTAGTAAGTGGGGATTGGACGGGTCATCAGGGCTGGCCCAATATAAACAAAAATTTAATGATGTCCAGAGTGCGAGTGATAGCAATATTTTTTTGACGTCTTTCGTTCCAATTCAAATTATTATGTATTCAGTTGAATCAAAAGAGGCATTAAAAGAATTAATTTGGAAAAATCCAAGAACATCTTCAACCAAATACTGCCGACCAATTCATATACAATTTCAAAAAGAAACGACCGAATTGATACAAAACGAAGTATCAAATATATCGAATCAAATTCAAAACTTGGTATCTTCAATAGTTAATTTGGGAAATGACGATTTTGTATCAGTAAAACATGAGCTTGTGTTAACTATGATCGATGGAAAAGTATGTAATGCTATATCAGATAATAAGTCGGCACAAAAATGTTATATATGTGGTGCAGGGCCAAAAGATATGAACAATTTAAATACGATAAAACAACGTCCAATTGATCCATCAACACTTTCATTTGGTTTATCATCCTTGCATGCTTGGATAAGGTTTTTTGAATGCCTCATTCATGTTGCGTATCGATTAGGTTTTAAAAAATGGCAAGCACGGGGAGATGACCAAGAAATGTTAAAGAAAAAGAAAAAGGAAATACAAACTAAGTTTAGACAAGAATTGGGTCTGTTGATTGATCAACCTCGTCCTGGAGGAAGTGGCACGACTAATGATGGTAACACGGCCAGACGATTTTTTTCTAATCCAGACGTATCATCTTCTATAACCGGTGTTGATAAAAATATCATAGTACGATTCAAAGTTATACTTGAAGTTATATCATCAGGTGAAAAAATTAAAGGTAATATAAAACAAAATAATGTCATTTAAAATAGTATCTTAGGTATTCTACTAGCTTAATAAAATAATTAATAAATAGGTAATGAATGCATAACCATTTAAAAAATATTAGTTTTCTTTATATTATTTTAGGAGTTGAATTCAATAATTATGCATTTGAGACAGCTCAATTATTCATTAGTAAATATCCATGGTTTTATCTACCAGCATCCGTTCACAAAATTTTGATTCACGGAACACAAATTGTTGAAAATGCCATATTGCCAATCGGTTTATTATCAGAAGAAGCACAGGAAGCTAGGAATAAGGATATGAAGAGGTTTAGGGAAAATAACACAAGAAAAATATCCAGAAAACATACAATGGAAGATTTATTTAATAACTTGCTCATTTCATCAGATCCACTTATTTCGAGTAGAAGAAAAATTAGCAATAAAAAATCAACCACATTATGCGATGAAGCAAAACTGCTTGTGTGTATTGTAGGAGAAAAAGAGGATTTGTACATTAATGAGGAAAATAGTGAAGACGAATTTATGGAGTACGAATAATTAAATTGAAAACAACTAGCATATTGTGAACATTTGTATATTAAAATGTAGATTAATATATAAAAAACTAATTCGTAATTAATTTACTGTAAATAACAATGAAATAAAATATTAAATACTTTTTATTATTTGCTTAAATCAAAATATAATAAAAATCACCATTGAAAATATTTTTTTCCAAATTTTTTTTTTTTATAGACCACTGTGGAGCAGTACGATCAAAGAAACTCTCCGTTCAGTTTAAACGGCATTAGGCATTCGCTTTGTCGTTACTAAATGTGTATTTAGTAGGTATTTAGGAGTAAAGAATTTGTAGAAGCGAAGACAGTCGAACACGAATGAGCGAACAATGTAAACGGTCGCGGCCAAATTTCTAGCAAATATGAGTTCGTATTCGTTCAGGAGCATTCGCTTGCGTTCGTTCGTGTTCGGGCTCTAATGTAAACGCACCTTTAGTCGAACACTTTCATTCGTTCTAAGAATCGTATTGGTCAGGCCGTACAGCGATTATCGGATTCATGGTATTTCCAAATTTCGTAGAACACGGGCACACGACATAAGTCGATAATTGTCAGTCAGTCGCTTTATTTACTCAACGTAGAAAAAGGGCGTACGGATGAAGAAGCGCTTTGTGTTATTTGTAATTGTTTTTTATCAGTTACTCACGGAGGTAAAGCTGACGTAAAACACTACATTTAAACGACTAATCACAAAATAGTTTCGGTGTTGTATCGACATCATCGCCCATATCCAAATTTATGATTAAATAAGATACCCAAGAAGAGTTGCTAATTACGGCAGCAGAACTAACAACACCTTATAAAATTGTATAACATCATCAGTCTTTCAGTTCACTTGATTGTATCGTAAAACTGAATGCCATAATGTATTCCGCCTCTAAAATCACAGCAAAACAATCCACAGCCAGAACGAAGGCTACAGCATTTGTTAAAAATATTCTCGCACTAAATTCTGTGTCAGAAATAAAAAAAAAAATTGCAAGAAGTTTCATATTACGGAATAGGCACTGATGCGTCCAACCACAAAGCTGAAAAAATGTTTTCTTTGATTATTCAATATTTCACTGAACAAGATGGTATCCAACATAAGCTATTAAAGTTTGATTCTTTAAAAATGAAACGTCAGAAACTATCTCCAAATATTTTATCGACACTTTAAGACAATTGTAGATTCCATTGGATAAGCTAATTGCTTTTTATGGGGACAACACCAATATCAAATTCGGAGTGTTTCAACGACGTGGTCAATGCAATGTTTTTCATAAAATAAAAGAAGACCTGGGAAGACCTATAGAAGGTATTGGATGTCCAGCCCATATTCTGCACAATACTATATCAAGCGCCTCTGGAATATTATCAGTAGATGTCGAAGTTATCGTCCTTAAAATATTTAATTATTTTGCAATATACACGGTTAGGACGAAGAAATTGAAAGAGTTCCTTTCATTTATTGATATTAATTATTTAACTCTTTTGTCACACTCACGAACAAGATGGCTGTCATTAATGCCCGCGGATGAAAGAATTTTGAAACTTTGGACACCGCTCAAAAACTTTTTTGACTCTGAAGAAAGAGTTCCTAAAATTATTTTAGATTTTTTTCAAAGTCCGATTAGTGAAATTTATTTCCTGTTTCTGCATTCCAACTTGAATTTGTTTGAAAAAAACATAAAAAGCGTTGAAAAGAACAAAGTGTCAGTAATTTAAATTAGAAAAATATACGAAACACCAAACACCCTAATTGAAAGGGAATTACCAAATTTATTGGCATGCAAACCAAAATGAAAATGCAGAAACTTAAAAATGAGAATTCTACACCTGAAACTACAATTTTGATTTCAAAATTTGAAGAAGAAACACTATCATTTTTTAACGCAGCTTCTGAGTATCTAAAAAAGTGGTCTATTTCATTTGATAAATATGATGTGTTTGACTGGATGAAACCCCAGAATGGGAAAAAATTGAAAACACTATTTTATATCTCAATAATAATGGTGTGGAAACTTTAAGCGACAATCTCTTTGAGCAATATATGTATCTTAAGAACTTTTTAGAAGTTAAACTTGCTTTGGAAGAATGGAAGTCGATCAATTCGATGGAAGAAAAATGGATAATTTTTTTTAAAGAAACTGAAAATCAAAGATTAGAAAATCTCAACTGTTGAAATTATGCGAGTATTTGTTTGCAATCCCTGCACACAATGCTACAGTGGAAATATTTTTTTCTTTAATGTCGACCCAATGGACTGATGAACGAAATCGCCTGCTCCCAGAGACTATGGAGTCAATTTTATAGTGTTCAAGTTAATTATAATGTGGCTTGCGCAGAATTCTACAAATATGTTAAAGGGGAAAAAGAACTGTTGAAAAACAAAATCTTCTGAAAAGTATGGCCATCCAAGTACATCTGCAATAAATTAAAATTTTTTTTTGTATATAACCTTAATAAATATACTAATAATTTTCTAAAATAAAGAACATTGATTTTTCTTTCAAAATTGAGTATTTTTATACATTCCATCCTAAAATTTCTATAACGTCCCGACATGGCGATAAGCGGTAACATTAGCAATGCACTAAACATTAGTGATTAAAATACTAAATACAGCAAAATACAATTAAATTATTTATTTAGAATTTAGATTATATTGATAAGTAATATTATATAATATATTTAGATTAGATTAAATTTGTATTAGATTGTAATAACAGGAAAAATAATGATACAATTATTGCATGAATCTTAATGGGATGTTTGCGCTTGAATATGACTACATATCTTATCAATATCTAGAGTAAGGTTTGTTAATAAAAGCCTTAGTGTCGTCGTCACATTCAATCTATTTCGATATTTAGTCTTGGATGCAGTGATTGCTGAGAATCCACTTTCACATAAGTATGTTAAAGGAAAAGAAAGTAGGACTCCCAACGCCTTTTCACTTAATACCTCATATTCGCTGTGAAACTTCTATCCAAAATTTATCTAGTGATAAATTATTTTTTATTTCCCGTTTTTCAACGGGACGTCTGAGGAAAGATCTGCCAACATATCCTTTTCATTCGTAGATAGAGTATTTGTTGAGCTATTGGCACTGAATGGATCCAAAATCCATAAGAAATCATCTCTTGGGTCTTGAATTGAAGGGAAATACTCTTCAAATTTAAGCGACAACATATTCAAATGATTAACAATAATCAGTTTAAGTTGAATAATATTGTAATCTTCATTATTCTCGTTCACCCCACTCATGAACTCCATTAAGGTGCTGAACATTTCAAAACAGTTGTTTTCAATTCTTGTGATCCACAGCTTAAATTTTTTTCTTTTGCCCTTTTATTTTACTGTAACTGTAAAACATGGTTTTATGTGTTCCTTGAAGAGACAAGTTTAACTCATTCAAAAGTTGAAATATGTCTGCAAGATAACATAATTTCATGTTCCAATCTATGTCTCTGAAGTACTGAACCAGGTCACAATTTTTGCTTGATAAAAATATTATTATATCTTCTCTAAGTTCACACAGTCTTTTTAATATCCGATCTCTCGAAATTCAGCGAACTTCCGCATGCAAAAATAGCGTTCTCTGTATGGATCCCATTTCATCACACAACAATGCAAACAGTCGTGAATTAAGAGAGCTGGACTTAACAAAATTTACCATTTTATTAGTACTTGATTAAATTCGGCACTCATTCTTTTACTTGCTAGCATTTCTTGGTGTATCATACAATGTGTGCTTTGTATATTTGGAGCGATTTGTTTCATTTTTGCGACTAGTCCTGCATGCTTACCAGTCATATTAGCCGCGCCATCGGTACAAATTGAGATACAGTCTGAGATCTTTAAATCTGTACTTAAGAAACAATCGAACAATGCAGAAAAAATTTCAGCGCCAGTTGTATGTTTCTTCAGCTCCAAGCATTTCAAGAATTCTTCTTTGATTTCTTTTTCATCCCAGTCCACATACCGAATATAAATAAGTAGCAGTGCTTTATCAGTAATGTCACAGGAACACAAGTTAAGAAACACTGTACTAGAAGAGTCAGTTATCAATGTATTAATTTCATATTTATATTCTCACTTTACAGCAGTCTATTTTCTATGTATACAATAAAAGTATAGCTAAAAAAGGGGTGAATGAGGCTGCTTCCTTTATATTTCATTTTATTATGAATTATCTTGACGATGACGTGGAGGAACTGGAGGAACTTCAATTTTTGTATGATTCTATTGTAAGGCAAAATAAAAATTATACTATTTTTTGTTTTATACGCTATATTATCAATAACCAAAACCACAATCTAAAAAATATCAAGATTACATTTCCAGTTTGAGAACATTCGTATTTAGAGTGCAATAAAAATGTTAGCTTGTGGAAATTAAAAAAAAAAAATGTGAACTCCAAAATATTTTGAGAGCATGATTACAAATTCATGAACTAAATTATGGCCTTTCATTGTAATTAATGTTAGTAAACAAATAGTATATGTATATAATTGGACACAGCTGTTAAGTACTATATTTACTCGTGATATTCAGAAATGTCCATTTAAAACTCAGCCCATTAAAGAAATCATTATCTCATCCACCGAACCTAGACAACTCAAATGGTGGGACATATACTCGTATAATGGACTCTTGTTCTCTAACGTAATAAAAAAAGACTGTCAAAAGCGTCAACATTGAAGAAAGGAGAATTTGAGCTACTTCCTAATCGATGTTATTTAGATATTTTTTAATTCAAATAATATTCAATTTGGTCGTATAGTATTATAGTATACAATGTTTATTTATTTTCATGTTTGACTTTACAGGTCCTCTTCGTATCTCGCAGACCAACAGGATATCAAGCTGTGGAGTTTTTTTAAATTTTAAAATACCAGTAAAACTTTGTATTGTAAGTTTTATATGACAATAATTTCTGAAAATCAATATATTTTCGATAAGCCTACATGCCTTGTTTTTTCCCTATTTCAGATGAATTACTTGGTTCTTTTTCGGATAATATAAGACTAAGGATGATTTTTGTATTATATTTTTAATTTAATTGTACTTATGTATTTCAAACATTATTAATTCTATTGATTACATTTCAATGTTCATGATTTCATTTTTATATTATTTTTTTTTTTATGAAATAAATATATTTAATAAGTTTTGAAATTAAAAACATGTTTTTCTCAAAATAAAAAAAGTGATTTTTCTGGTTCTTTCCCTATACCCTTCATATATTTAAATAGAAGATATTAAAACTTTATTAGGTATTCTAATACAATTATACCTAGCTCAAAATGAATAGCTCTATGCAGGCCCACTTATAGGGGGAGAGAATACTACTCTAATACTAATACTCATTTTTGCTTAACTACATAATACATAATAATAAAATTATCTTACTGTATAATGAATGAATTCCTAATATATCGTCATATCCGATATCTTGGGGTTGTGGACCTTTATAATAAGGATTCATTATAGAGTTAGATTCAGCCGAATGTCCCAATCCAAGACTATGACCCATTTCATGAATAGCCACTGAGTAAAAATCAACACCTTCAATAAAATCACCTAATTTAATCATTATACAATTTAGTGTAGATAAAAATAAGTATAAATACCACTGTCAGATTTATATAATGTCCAATCTTCACTGTTATCAAAATGTATATCCCCACCTAAAATACCTAGGTCCGTTGGATAAAATGCATGAGCGAGGGTATTACCTGGACCATCAAAAGGAAACCTAAAACGTAAGTTACTTCACTAATGATCAACTAAACACATTTTACTATAATATACATAAGTACTAAAATAACAACAAAAAGTAAGAGTAAGTGTTAAGATAAGTAAGGAATTATATCTTTGATCCATAGATATTTTTAATTTTTATAAATTAAAGGTAAAGGTGGCTTACCAGCAACATTATCATTAATAAACCTTTACTTAAATAAGCAATAACCACAACCGAACTCATACATAATTCCACAAGGGTTTCATCGATTCTTCCCTTAATCATTTATAGTTCCACCTCTGAACTTAATATTTGTGGTCGAAATATGTGATTTATTCGCGCAACGATGTTTTAGATTATACATAGCAACAAAGCATGTAATCATCCACAATTGTAACAAAGTTTGTACAAAATCTAAGTTAGGCTTAGATTATAATTCCTTTCGTTTTTCCGGGGATCAAAAAATGCAAAAAATTTAGCGAAGATTTTAAAATATGATATTAACCATAAAAACCACGAAAAACAGTCGATAATTGTATTACTGTTATGTGTGGCAGCAGCAGGTTGAGGTAAAAATTGGTAGCTGGCGAAGTTGATAGGCTTTTTTTAGACTACCAGTACTTGCAGATTCGATATTGGCAAAATTGATGCTGCATTGGCGATGGGTCCTCAATCTCACAAAAGGAAAATAGTAGTTATAACACATAACTCAACAGTAAAAGAATTAAAAAATATAATAACGTTAAATATTAAAAATGTATTAATGGTTTACATTCCCATAAAATAATTTATACGGCTAGAAATGTAATAACATTATGATGCCCACATGTATATTTTTAAATTAAAAATACATAAGGACGCATTTTGAAGTTTCACCCCAGGCACAATATTTGGTTGCTACGGCACTAATGCACATGATAGGAATATATATAAATCCAACAATAATTAATAATTATCAGTTGGCAGCCACTAACTTATTTTTATATGACATTTGATAATACGATCTATTTTTAATCAAATTTTAAAAGTTTGATAGAATATAACATATTATTTAACAAAATATTTTACCATGCAAAACATGTCTATAAAGGCTAGTTCAGACTATGCCAGTAATTTAGTCAAATAGCGAGTATTTTAGTAACTAATCATGTATGAACAGATCAATTTAGTCAATTAGTTTAGTAAAGTAATTAGTCAATCCATTCTATTCTATTTTTTTGGTCGAGTAGCACCTCTCTCTTTCCCAACTGATAACTATTATTTATTTTGACAATCACTTTTCACAGCACCAAAACGACTACTAATGTACTAAAACAGTTTTAAACCCTAGTTGTGTCTGAACACTTTTCAGTTAATAAACCGTTCAATAGTTAGTAAATCACTTACCACTCGACTAAATTACTGGCATAGTCTGAACTAGCCTTAAGTTTAAGTAATAATAAGTTTGTTCAAACACGAAATTTAGGATTAGTTGCCGACTAATCCGTGATTGATTTACTGCGAATGCGTTCATGTGAATTGATCACGGACTCTGAACTCTATTGGAACGCTTTTTGGATTTTCAATGATAAGATATGAGATTGATAATAAATTAGTAAAATTAAATTGCGATTTAAATAAAAAAAATTCATAATAAGCACATACCTTCCATTTTAAATGTTTTAGATACACTGTTTAGATATTAATAATATATATTTTTATATATATTATATTTATAATATATTTATATTCTAATAGTATATTTATTTTATACTATGTATAGTTTATGTCGTGAAACAAAAAAATTGTTGATAAACATTACATGAAAATTCAAATGCGAAAAATTGATAACATGAATAATAAATGTGATAATAGTTTCTCTGACTATTAGTCCCCGTCAGAATCAGTGAACTGTTTTGATAGTTCACAACCAATCCTAAAACTGGTCTAATGACGTGTTGGAACAAGCGTCTGATAGTTTGAGTTTGTGTTTAGGGTGTGTTAAAACGCAAAAAATATACTGAGCATGCTTCCACCAGTTCTATGATAGTTTGACCGCGTGTTGGAACAAACCTAATATCTGAAGAAGTAATTTTTACATTCTACTTACCAGAGTATAACTTTTTATTCACGGTACAAGTTAAATATCTAAATATTTATACGCATAAATAATAAAAATTAAGAATGCTTCGTAAATAATTTAACTAACATAGACTTATCTCAAATTGCTAGAAATTCCCTCAATAGCTATCTTCGATTTTGAAAATAATTAGAATAAAATATTTTACACATCATATAAGTACTTTAAATGCAATTGGAGACAATTTAAAATGTTTAGTTACCTAGTTACGATTAGTAAATTTTAAATTTTCATTACTAAGAGGTACCTAAGTAAAATTTTATTTAAATTAAGATTTTCTCCAAATAGAGTTCATATTTTCACAATACTATAAAAAGTTATAAGTAATTATAAATTTTAAACTTACTTATCACCATGATCAAACTCTCCAAAAGAAATCACAATATCAGCATTAGTATTATATACTTCCAAAAAATTAAGTCTACTATATTGACTCCATATTCTAAATGCTCTTTGAATTTCATTTTTAATGTTTTCAGGTGATAATTTTGGAGTATAATTTGATACACTAAATTTAATATAAAACATAAGTGTTATTTTCTTCCGATTTAAAAAATAAAAATGGTTATTAGTAAAGATTAAAATAAATTACCATAATCGAAACCAAATATGTGCCTAACATTTCATTTCTTTGACAGGTCACAGGATACTGATTAGGTTAATGAATAATTTTTAAGATTTATTTAGATTTTATTAGATAGTTACTTAAAATTGTGTTAGATATAAATGTGAAATAAAAAATAAATTTCTTTATAAAATTTAACATTCTTATGCCGTAGTTTTGTAATGTATTTTAAATTTATTAAAATAAGTGCCGAATGTTTTCTCAAAAGTTAATTTTATTTTTTAATTGCAAATCAATTTTTTGATTTGCTTCATTGACATCATCTTATTTATAAAGTTTATACGGTTCATATACAAACAACTTACATGTATAATATAAGTGATGAAGAGATTCTCTTTTTACCTAGTGCAATTATAAGTCGGACCTATCTTGAACGTAACTTTAGGTAGGTACTATTAAAATTTGCAAAAATATGTAATATTAAGTATGAATATCTAGAGTACCTATAGTAGGTTATATGTACCTACTTAATAAATAGTAATTAAAAAATGTCTGCATTTAAGTACTTACTAATAAGTAAGATATCGTTTGTTCCAACCATTTGAAGGTATAGCAAATCTTTTTTTTTTGATATTATTTTGTTTTGGAGGTATATCAAGAACACCACACCGTTTTGATTTGATTAACTAAATCATTTTATAAAACAAACATAACAATATTTATTATATTTTTATTTTTATATTTATTATGGAAATGGCTGTAACATTCAATTGTTTAAAATAATAAAAAATAAATTAAAAAAAAAAATAAAAATATTGTACAACATTTAAAATTAGAGAAAGCTTGGGAAACTATTAATCTATAAAAAATTAAAATATACTTTTCAATATTGATGAAAAACACGATTTTTTAGAAAAAATTTTATATCCCGGTAAAATTATAAACTATAATTTTTTGGTAAACAAAATTAAAGAGTTGTTTTTTCTGCTTTTCTTGATTTTTAAAACACCTTTGTATCAACATATACATCCCATCATAGGCGTGTTTTAGCAGGGATGGTTTAATTAATTGCTATAATATATATATTAATTAAATCCCCCATTGATTTTTAAAATTAAAGCAATTTTCTAAATCCTTTTTTTTGTTAGTTGGGTCATTATCACAATCAAAGATATAGTTACTTAGGTTTATAGAACGGTATATTTGATTTTAATTGTGATAACACATCAAATCACTAATTTACACCGGCAACCGCGTTTAAAATGTATAATATACGAATTGGATGTCCCAAAAATGTATTCAACATAATACTTAAATATTTAATTAATACTTGTTTAATAACTAAAATAAAAATTGAAACTCAAGTGCTTTAATTAACAGATAAATTAAAAAAAAAAACAAAAAAGAATTATTGTAAATTTTATTTTATAGGCCCTATAGAGCTTGGGACCCGAGTGCATTTCACCGCCTCCACCCCTACTATACCTGGACACTGACTGCATCACTAAAATATAATTTATAAGATATGATATCTCTAATATCATTGAAAGTGATAAGTGTTCCAAATTTAAAATTCTAGAGTTCTAAATTAGTAATTATAGTATTCTCAAATTGTGAAATTAGATTTTTTAGATATTAAAAATCACTAATAATAATTTGTATTCCAATTAAATTATCATTTTCAACTCAAATTATAATTGTTTATTTTTGATGAGTTGTTATTTTCCCTTAATAAATTATACCTTCTTGTAAATATTTGCGAAACGTTTATTATGTACCTAGTTAATCTTTTTATAGCCAATGTTTCTACAATTTAAAAATTACGTGAAAATATATCTAGTTAGTTTCACATATCCTCTGATTAGTTAAGAAACCTTCAAATTTAATGTATAAAAATAATAGTACTTTAGAAAATGACTTAGGAATGGCATCATAAACTTGATTTTGTTCTTTAATTTATATTTTAGTATTATAAATTATAAGCTAAATTTAACAAATATTTTGTATTATAAAATTTTTTTATTGTTTATAATTTATAAAACATATCTAATTTTTATATTGATTCCTATAGAATTAATAAAAAACATTTCATCCCCTATCCCATTCAAAATGTCTAAGCATGCCTCTGCATCCCATCATAAAACAATATACAGTTTGAATAATGAAACACAAATCTATAAAATGTAATAAGTTCTAAACCACTGAATTATTAATTATATTGAATTTGATATAAATAATATGAATTTAATTTACAAACCTTTTGTGTGTTATTATCAAATATTCCTGTTTGTTCTAATCCACCAAACTTCTGAGTTAGTTTTAAAGCAATAACCAATGCATCTTCTGCTATTAAAGATTGAGGTCCTGTTTGATCCAAATATCCAAACTTCTGCATAAATTCAATCTGCATATAATTTATTTAAATTACCAAAATATTATTTTATTATTTATGCTTTATTAATTTACGATTTCTTGATTTATGAACAATTTGTCATTTTTGTTCTGTCTTTTATTTAATAATGGCGCACATATTATTTTAGTTACAAGTAACAACCAAATACACGTATAAAATATATAATTCATAATTGTTTTATATGATTTACTTAAATGTAATACGTATAATTACTATATATACCTACACATACATAAATACTACAAGAAAACGAGGTACACTACTATTATGGTTTTTAATAAAGAGTAACTTATTAAATCAATGTATAAAAATTAAACAAAATCATAATAAATATTTTACAGGTTAGTAGTAAACATCGCAAATAATTATAAAATAATCTAATGGGGTCAAACCGATACCGATAAGTTAAATTTTTGATAAAAGCAATAATTACATGTTACTTAAACGCAATGAGGCATTGATAATAATAAACAACAAATAAAGATAAACGAAACATTAATTAAAGAAAATGTTAATGATTTTAATTCATTTTTCTAATGCAGTAATCAGTACTTAGTTATTGGTTTTAATAAATTCGAAATTTTCATAAGTATTATGAAGCTGCAAATTTCTTTCCATTTATTCACGTATGAAGTAGGACCTTTTTTAGATATTTTATATTTTCATCGTACTAATTGTTTAGGGGGGGGGGGGTGAATTTGGAAAAAATAAGCATTTTCTGTAGGTGTTTGGTGGAGATAAGGAAGTAGGATTAAGTTAGATTTATAAGTAAAATATTTAAATTACAAATTAAACTGTTTAACTTCTATTTCATATAGTGATACCACAAAAAAAAGTATTATACAATCGACTAACGAGAAATTTAGCAAGATGTTTTAAAATTGATCGGAACGTTATAAAACGTTCCATATCGTAATGGTATTATTTTTAGCTATTATATTACGAATAATATTCATATTTCATATCAATCAGTCGTTTCGCGTGTTCAAGATAAACCATTTTTTTTTCTATGTAGAATTTGTAAAAATCTCAGAAAATTTTCAGGAGGGGGTTACAAACCCCACCACTAGTTGCGCCACTTTTGACGATGAAATTCACAAAAACAAAAATAAAAAGTAATGTTTTTTTTATGCAACTTTTATATGTATATATGTTTATAATTATTACCAATGATTTTTTTTCTGTGTGGTTGTATTTTCATGTTATGTTTGCTACATGAAATTCGTTTTACATGTTTTTCAGAAGTGTCGGGATAATTAGCTATTGGTCTTCCGTCGCCATAGCCTCCCTGTATAAGTTTTTTGGATCGCAATCGTTGATTTCTTCTTCTACCTCCTCATTGGCCGAATCGTCTTTTAGGCCGTCGCGTGTCGATAGGCATTGAATTGTTTTTGCCCCTTGCGTTGATGCATATTGCGTTTGTGCACTTGTTCTGGTTATTGGTCTTTGAGTAATTTGTCGTGAACTTGTTTGTTGTGTGGAACTCGTCTGCGCATATCGACCCGTAGATTGTTGCGACTGGACACCATTTGTGCCACCGTACCGACTAGCAAACGGTTGTGTTTAGCCGTCATTTGTGCGACCGTACCGACAGCAAACAGTTGTCTATTCGACGTGTTTTGTTGTTCAGTATTACTTTGTTTGGTATAATTGTTTTCCAGCTCACTCAACTTTTCCCATATGTTAAGGAACTTTTTCTCTTGCGTTGTTTGAATGTACGCTTGAATCGCTATAGGGAAATGCTTCATTATCAAATTGATGGCTTATGATTCGTTCATTTTTGGAGAGTCCAAGTGTTTAAGCTCGGCCATCCAATAATGGAAATGTTCTTGGAAATTGCAAGTGATTGGTTTTTTACCTGCTTCTGTATATCTTATGAAAATGTCCCACTGTCTGTTCTCAGAAAAAAAGTGTTTATTTAAGAAAAAGCGTCTTAAATGTGTTTTTGTTTGTTGCCAAATCTTTGATCATGCTAAACCATTTTACAGCCTTCCCTTTCATGCAATTTTTGATTGTGATTATTCGGTCTGCCTGTGTAATCTGTTTGTGATGTAGATATGAGTTTAGATTTTTTTAAAAATTGTTTTGGGTGTTCGTTAATTTTACCGATAAACGTTGGCATAGTTAATTCAACATTGTTCGTTTTTTTATTTTCATTGTCTTGACTTGATATCTTCACCATTTGAATGTCTTTTTCACGTTTTGCTGCTTCGATTGTTATCCTTGTATCTGTGTCGTTGATTAATTGTTTTATTGTTTCCGTTGCTTCTCGTAATTCCGTAGTTAAATTATTGAGTGTGGTTTTTTGCGTCTCTACTGTTTCCTCACTGTTTCCTGGAGTTGCTGTACTTTTTCTTCAAGTTGTTGGATTCGATCTGAGTGATTCTTCACCATTGTGTCGAAGTAGTCTAGGTGTTCTCGGTATCGTGGTTTTCTTGCCACTGGTTGGGCGCCAATTGAAACGGTGTATCGGGGTTACCCGATATCCGGATCCTGATATAAATTACACGTGAATAGGTATTTTGTTCATTGTGTTAGAACATATCTAGTTTTCACTGTGTGAAGTTATCGCTTATCGTCTAATTAGTGTCGTAAGTTTTTTCTACGATATCGTCGTCATCGGGCGGCGATACACGCGCTGGGCAAAAGCCCAGTACTTCCAAAATGAAAACTTGTTGAGTGGAATCGATTTATAAGTAGATACAGACACGTTTAGGTTAAATTAATAAACAATTTAATATCGTGAAATGATAATAATAATAATAAATAATAAAATTATACACAACGCACTTCGTACAACGGCAACCGGTCGCATGTCTCGACAGACTGCCTCCGTATATCTGTGCTACAATACCCGTATACATGCCACACCCGACATACAGAATGTGCCATCTCAACACTAATCGCTGACTATAATAATGTATACATATATACTTAAAACTACAGTATGAATACAAACTAATACATACTAAATATACTGAGTGTATTGTTTAATTTCAACAAAACTTCTTTGTGTATAAACCATGACTGATTCTGACTGGCTTATTCAAACTTCAAAGAAAAATCGTAAGTCTACTCTAAAATCATCAAGTCCTGTTTCCCCAAGCTTACAACAAATTATAGCTAACCCACCATCATTAATTACGACTGATACGGCATTCAACTATAACAACAATAATCTTTTATCTCCTTCCGATAATGCCCCTACTACAATGTTAGTAGATAATAATACCGTCGATTCTATTCCGGTTACCTTTATGCCATCTACATCGGTTGATAATCATTCTACGTCGTTAGCCCCATAGACATAATATATTATGTTTATGCGTTAGCCCCAGCAACTACAGATTATCAACACAATAATTGCGATAATAATAATTCTCCATAACGTCTTTTTCCATATGATTATATCGGTCCCATTTTCATTTTAGTCGAATATGTTGTTCCGAGTAAAAATCTTGGTAACTGGCAACCGCTCAAAGCTACTAGATTTTTCTCCTCCAATTTCAAAAGCATAACTAACATCAAACCGGCTAGTTTAAATAAAATCAAAATCACGTTCAACTCCGTGACTAATGATAACCTTTACCGAAATTCAAATATTTTGAATAACAATGGTTTTACTGCTATTATTCCATCTACGTTCTTATATTCATTCGGAATCATTAAAATTGATAATTCTTTCTCTGAAGCAGGCCCTATTATTTGTAAAATTTCGGACTGCACACTTAATTTTACTGCTTTAAATGAAAATTTAGTCTCGCTACTGTCTTAGAAAAAGGAATATATTACATACATAATATATATATATATATGTATTAAATTTTAAAAAAAATCAATTATACTCATATTTCCTAGTTGTTGGCTTATTATTTAATTTTTGTTTTGTAGACCGTAGTACACACGCGTTAAAACCATAGTGCACACTTGTACATTCGTGGTGCACATTGTGTGTCGAGGTGCACATAAAAATAGGGCCTGCTCTGAAGAAGATTACCGTGATGGCCTCCAGTCTTCGGTTCCAGTAGAAATATTTAAACATATCTCTGTTAAAAAAAGACGGCACCATTATTCAAACACATATTAAATTTGCTGCTTCAAAAATCCCTAGACAAATCTCAATTGAAAATATGCTCTTTGACGTCCAACCCAGTATAAAATCATCTGTTCAGTGTAATCGCTGCCTTCGTTTTGGTCACACTCAAACATTTTGCCGCAGCAAACCAAGATGTAGCCATTGTAATGTAGATGACAACTCTTTCAATGCCTGCCCGTCGGCCCATACTATGGACCCAGTTTGTATTTGTACGGTGCATTCAAACATTTGGTAGCAGAGCGTGGTTGGATTACCTCAGGTGGGACCCTAGCCTAGCGACGTGCTGAAGTAATTAATGTGTTAGTGTTAGGATCGCGATGGTCGAGACAAAGGCTGATAAGGAAGAGCGCCGAGTGATGACGACGCTCAAACGTGAGTCCGCCATCCAAGGGATAAAAGCTGTATATGCCTTAATAGAGCGCGTGAATTCCGATCTCGCCTTCATTCCAGAGTTTTTACTCAATGTTGATGGTCTAGATGCCTTGTGGTCTCAATTCCAGGCCGAGGACAAAGCGCTGTTGGAATTACTCGTTAAATTGAATATATCAGCAGAGTATTTGGTTGCACAGGCCGGCGAATTACGTACATTAATTCATTCCGCGAAGGCAGTCACAAACGTACATCGTCAAACCAACATCGTAAAACACCTTGTTGGCACTACGTCAAGCCAGTCGGACCTATCACGACTCCCGGAAATCCCTTTGTCGAGATTCGAAGGCGAATTCCACATGTGGCCATCATTTCGAGATAGTTTCAAAAATCAAATTGACAGCCACCAGGAATTATCGAACGTCGGCAAACTATACTACTTAACGGGTTGTCTTCATGGTGCTGCGCTGGATGTGATTCGTGGTATACCCGCGTCCGACGACAATTATCATTTAGCGTGGTCAACGTTGTCTGCGCGTTTTTATCGTCCACGTATGGTTGCCACATCATTAGTCGAAAAGGTGGTAAACGCGCTGTCATCATCACAGGAGTCACGACTTAACTACGTTCTTGGCGACCTTCGATGAGAATATTTCGTTATTGTCCGCAATGAACATCCCCGACCTTGGGTCCTTTATTTTGTTCACTATGGCGTTCCGTACCTTACCACTCAGCACTCGGAAGTTATTTGAATCCACCATTTCCAGTTACACTCGTTGATAATCTATTACAATTTGTTCGTGGTCGTATCACCGTTTTGGAAAATGTGGGCGAATCACAAAAGAGCAACGCCAAGTCGAATTCATCATCTGTTATTGGACCGTACGGTAGTCGTCGCACGGGAAAGAGTAACCCCGTGACGCTCATCGCCGCTAAATCAACAGATAATCGTGTACCCCCGTCTACCGTGACTTGTCCTTGTTGTTCCGGGCCACACACTATTAACGGTTGTTCGAAATTTCGATCGTGGTCTCTGGACGTTCGAAATCGCTGGGCCCATGATAATAAAGAATGTTTCAACTGCCTCATCGGCAATCACTGGATCCGAGCATGTCCGTCTAAGTCACGATGCCAGAAATGCTCCAAGAAGCATCACTCACTCTTACATGGTGCCATTCCACCCGTTAAGAGGAAAGCGGCGAAGATAGTGGGGAAGCACCGTCGTGCTGCACCATCGAGTTGGCTCGGAATGCAATACCGACAGTGTTGTTAGGCACTGCGTTGGTTCACGTTCGTGATTGATCCGGTACGTGGCAAACCGTTCACGTCCTGGTGAACTCCGCATCCCAGATTAGTGCCATAACAGTCGCGTGTTCCACCCGCCTTGGGTTCCGACTGCATCCGTGGACCATGCCAGTTAGTGGCATTTCCAGTACACCTATCGTCAGTGTGAAAGGAATCGTCGAGTGCCACATCCGGCCGCGTTTTGCGTCTGAACCCGCGTTGATTATGCAAGCGTGGGTGTTGCCCTCAATCACAAGTGACATGCTACGCAGTTCTTTCCACGCAGACATTAAGGACCGTTTTTCCACCCTCGCAATCGCTGATCCGCAGTTCAACATTGCGTCACCAATCGACATGTTAAGTGCTCGGAGCTGACGTGTTTTCGTCGATTCTGGACGGGCGGAAAATCAAAGTTGACGAGTCACTACCCACGGCTTTTAGTTCAATTTTCGGTTGGGTACTCATTGGGCCACTCCCAGCGGCTGTCAGTTGTCATGTCCTCACCATACCGGTGTTCTTATCTACGTCCAGCGAGGCCTTAATGGATAAGTTTTGGACAGTCGAAGAACCGGACGCGGCTCCGTCTTCATTCACCGACGATAGTTGGTGTGAAAGTCACTTTCGCGCCGAACACAAACGTTTACCGTCCGGTCGATTTCAGGTACCGCGGCCGACATGTAAGCCGGTTTTGGAGCTGTCATTCCCGGGATCGCGTGCCGTAGCGATAAAACGGTTTGAGTCTCTTGAACGTAAGTTGATGTCTAATACCCCTTTACGTATTGTGATTTTATGTCCGAATATTTGTCGCTCGGCCATATGTCTGTGGCAAAATTACCGGGGCGATACATCATCCCCCACTATGCTGTGTGCAACCAGTCTAACGGAGATTTAAAAATCCGCGTTGTTTTTGACGCTTCGGCTATATCCCATGACGGTACGTCTCTGAATGGTTGTCTACTTCAGGGTCCAAAGTTACAGCAAAATATCGTCGATATTCTGACTAGGTTCCGACTGTACAAGTACGCGTTCACCACCGACATTTGTAAGATGTATCGTCAGGTGATGGTGGCGCCAGAATATCGTCCGCTTCAACATATTCTATGGCATGCGTCACCGCGCGATCAGCTCATCGATTCGCCACCGATCTTCACTAAACGCGGCGTCTTATCTCTAATAACGCGTATCTTCGACCCGTTGGGGATGTTTTCGCCGGCCACTTTCTACGCAAAACACATAATGCAGCGGACGTGGTCGAATAACCTTGGTTGGGATGACAAGCTGCCGAGCCATATTATGTAAGAGTGGGCCATGTTCGTCGATTCACTGGCCTGCCTCCATCCGATTAAGATCCCACGGCATTTTAACACGCGGTCTGGTGACCGTTGTTTATTATTGGGTTTCTGTGATGCATCACAGCGTGAATATGCCGCTGTTATCTACCTCTGCGTGCTGGGCGACCGAGAGGACGCTTCAGTTTCGTTGGTCGGCGCGAAAACCAAGTTAGCGCTTATTAAATCATTGACCATTCCCCGGCTCGAATTAAACGCCGCTGAACTGTTAGCACGTTGGTTACACCGCATCAAATGCGTTCTTGATGCTCAGCTCAACTTCGTAGGTGTACACGCCTGGACAGATTCAACCATTGTCCTATCGTGGCTGGTAAACCGTCATGAGTCGTTTAAGGTTTACGTGTGAAACTGCGTCCACAAAATCTACAAGCTCCTTCCGAGCTGTGTTTGGGCACACGTCTCGTCCGCGGACAACCCCGTCGACTGCGCGTCCCGCGATGTATTGCCATCCGAACTTCCGACGTTATCACTGTATTGGGATGGCCCCGAATTCCTTCTTCGTTGCCCGTCGTCGTAGCCAGTCGGTCCACTATATTGCCGTTATCTGAGTTGCCCGACGTGCGCGTGTTATCGGTGTCCGTCACTACTCCACTTACCACTAACGAGTGGGTTCGACAGTTTTTCGTCGTATGACAGATTGTTAAGAGTTGTCGCCCGTGTGTACCGATTTATCCACCGATGCCGTCGCCATGCACCAGACTTGCGACCGGTAGCCCTCACCCGTCATGAACTCGACGCAACCTTACGTGTGCTAGTGATCGAGTCACAACGTCTGTTTTTTGGAGTTCATGAGTGACGTTGTGAATAAGTTCAGCAAAAGAGCACCTGACAGCTCCAGCCTGGGTATAGTGATAGGTTTCAATGGAGCAACACGTGATTTTGCCGTATAAAGAGATGCAGTTATGTGACCAAGTTAAGATAGATACCTTATATACTCACAGGCTCCATAGGCTTCTTCAGAGGCATCTGCAAATCCATGAAGCTGAATAATCGGAGACTGTATATTAATTACAGTTCGGGGAACACTTATTTTTTTCAATATTCTTGAAGGTGATATAAAAGTCTTCCCAACGCTTACAAATGTTAAGCGACAATTCCAGCCGTTTCATGGCCCACAACTGTTGTAGGAAAATCTTTCCTTTTATAAACACTGGGGATAATAGGTCAATGGGGTCGAATATTTTATTCATATCTGACAATAAGGTACGCTTTGTCAGTTTCACAGTAGGGCTACAATCCTTAAACACAAATCGATAAGAATAAATACTAGGCTGCCAAGTCATACCCAAAGTACTAATAGTTTTTTCATCACTTATTTTCAACAAGTACTTATGCGGGGTCATCTTGAGACATTGGAATAGAATCAAGCAATAATGGAGAGTTAGAACATCATTTTCTTAAGGTAATTGTAGTGTACGTGGTTAACTGAACACAGTGCATGTTAGTATATAGGTTATGTAATACATGTGCAAACTAACGGTTAGTGCAGTTTTCAAAATAAAGTTAAAAAAAGTCTTATTAAATTGATTCTTTTTATTTATTATGTATCCGCTCATTAATTAATGTAGTGATTGGCTTATGTTCGGGTGCCATGTAGCGCAGTCATTACAGTCATACCAGAAGAATTTAAAACCTTACATAGTTCAGTGTACATAGAAAAGCATTTTGATTCATTTGAGGCACCGGTTGTAAAATTATCAACATAAAAATCTTCACTTATCGCACGCTTAACCGATGGATTGTTTGTTTCATTTGACAGCTGCGACAAACATTTAGTAGCCAAATATGAAGCAGGTTTTGTGCTATAAGTTACAGTAAGTAATCGGTAATCAATAACTGGATCCTCTTGATTATTTCGGAACACTATACTTTTTAAATCATAATCAGATGGAGATATCCTAACTTGTCGATACATTTTTTCGATGTCATCGGTTAAGACAAAGTTGTATACACGAAAACGCAATAATATAGAGACTAAACCGGGCTGAACAGTTGGACCTCGTTCTAAAATGTTATTAAGAGACACACCATTGTTGCTAGATGCAGAACTATCAGAGGCTACCCGCACCTTCGTGGTAATGCGACTTGATTTGATAATTGCATGATGAGAAAGATAGTAAGACTTATTCAGTATTCCTTCAGGAGGAACTGCTTCCATATGTCCAAGTGACAAATATTCATACATAAATTTCTTATATTCTTCAGCTAATCATAGATCAGGAATTACTTGTTTTTAAACTTTTAAAGCAGTTAATAACAATAAAATAAAAACATGACATTTTAAAAGGAAATAAATAAAAAAAAAAACATAAAACATAGAAACTCAATTAATAAGTAAATTAATAAGTTATAACATCTATAGAGTAATAATGATTAGGTTTCAAGATTTAAACTTTGATTGGTTTATGTTTAAATTTTGTATTGATGAAATTACTTATAATTAGGCTTAGGGACTTCTAGCATTTACATATTTTTTTTAAATATTGTTAAATATAGCAGAGTGCGAAATATATTCGTTCTCGATGCCATGATATCAGATCTAAAATTTGAATGTTCATATTTTTGCATATTTGATAGGTTTTGCAGGAAAGTGCATATTTTAAAATTGTTATGATTATTTTGCATATTTGACAATTTTTTTAAATTTAAAATTAAAAACTATAGATACATATAACTATATATACATATTTCAAATATCGAAAAAAAAATGTACTTAATAATTAGTACTTAATACCTACTTCCAGTAATATGCTATCTGCAAACTACCTCACATATCTCGTTATAATTTTTGTGTAAGTATAAATATTACTATAAGCCCGTATCGATCGTATCTGGATATCGATAAAGATAATAGTTGATATAAAATAATAGATTATTCATTTAGTGTTCAGTTCAGTCGATTGTTATCCGTCGTTATTTTTGCGTCTCGCAACCACGCAACGTCGAATCATTCATAAAACGTACGTATTTTGTAACATTGTGTAATGCCGAAAGTACAACAGTCTACGAGTATTCGACTACAAAGTTTTGTTTCGGAGTTTAAAGATACATTTACATCCGATGGACACGTTTTATTTTGTGTACTTTGTGGTCATTTTTTTTTTTTTTTTTTTTTTTAATGCATATAAATGCATATTTTAATGATTTTAGAAGTATATTTGCATGCATATTTTTGTATTTTTTAGAGCTATAAGTCCCTAAGCCTACTTATAATCTTAATTGATTTGTCTTAAAATGTCATTCTCAATGCTAAGTAAAGCTTACATGTTGAACCTTTCTTTTGTTATGGATGTTCAGAGTCAGTTTTCGATAAACTTTAATTTTTAAAAAGATCTTTCTCCACTTCTGCTGTTGACTAAAAGTAACAGGTACATTTTTAACGCTACCTTGATATAAGGAAAACAATCTTTGACGTTTTTCAAAGAAAAGTTGGTACATCCATCTTTCCCGAGATAAAACTTTTTCAATTTTTTCAAAATCATGTGTTAGATACTCTATGTAAAAATCCTTTAGTTAAATCAATTAATTTTCTAAATGATCATCTAATTTGTGGTTGATTCTAGTTAATACGTATATATAGGATATGCAAATCTTAAAAAACAATAATATTTTTCATTACGCAAACCAATTTTAGAAAATTGAAAAAGTAAAACATAATATTATTTAATTATTTGACAGTTTTATATACATAGTTGTATGATGTATGGTAAAAGTTCTGTTGTGGTGTGGGCCCATAGACTGCAGCCTATATAGCTTAAGCTTATAACCGGCCCTGTGTAAAGGCAGTTATAGGTACTTAAAACTTTTTCTGGGGAAATCATAAAATATAATTTATAAAACTATGAAATTAAAAGATTCTTCAAATTTATTAATTAATTCAAAACTTATAACACGAAATGAAAAATTATAAATAAAATTAATTTTATATTTATTAACATATTATTTCCAAATTAAAAATCTAAAAGTAATATATCAATAGTTAAATACTTTTTAAATCTATAACACTATAATTTACATTCATTTTTACTTTTTACCAAGGAAGTAATTTTCCTTCAAAATCATAAAATCCTCCATTATGTGATTTGTTAATATTTTTTAAAAATGTGCAGATGCCATTGACAGACTGTTCAACTTCAATTGGTGCATTTGGACCACCCATTGTAGTTTTGACCCATCCTGGATGAATGCTCACGGTCAGTATTCCATTATTCTTAAGATCGACACTCAATGATTTTGTGGCCACATTTATAGCAGCCTAATAAAGTAAAACAATAGAAAAAATTAATTTAGTCACATGATTGAAAACTTTATTAATTATTTTTTTATTTACTTATAACTACTATCATGGTAAAAATAAGTGTTACAATAATAGATACCTAAGTATATAGTGTATAAATGCTAATTGAGGACACTCAATATCTTTGTGTAAAATTTTACAATTTAAAATCTGTTTTTTAGTTGGTTTTTATTAGATACATAAAAATACATATTTTTATGATCTTTGAATTTTTTAAACTTAATTAGACATAACTTAATAATACATGCACATTATAATTTTTTTTTCTTAAATGGTAACAACCTATTTAAACCACTAATTACCTTTTGACTAATTTTTTTAATGAATTTTAGTAGCTTAACCAACTTCCTAAGTCCAAAATTGACCAATTTATAGCAATTTAAAAAAACAATGGTAAAATTAACAGGATTTTCAGTATTTTTATGGTAATTCTGAAAATAATTGTTCTAGAGTTATTCAGACTTAACATTTTTACCCCTATTTATTAAAATGAGATTTACACATTATTGTAATTTAAACTACTGCTAATTTTTACTTAAATTTGTGTAAGAATTATAACTTATAGCATAAAAACCGTAAATAAGTATATTATTTATTTCGTTAGATACATTAAATGGATCTAGCAGAAGTTAAGACAACTATTAGAACAATTTGTACGTTAAATTATTTAATACTAAATAAATTTAGAATTAAATTTGATATTAATTATTAATACATTTCATATCATTCCATATCATTCCAATAGATCCATTTAATGTAGTTGACTTTTAGAAAACACTTATTAAAATTCTAATATCATGATAAAATTACTTTGCTTGTTCTATATGGATAAAATCCACCTTGATCATTCAATGTGATGGAACCCAAAATTGAACTCATGTTAACAATTACAGCTTTATTTACACCAGTAGATGATTGATTTTTTTCTGAAGCTAATTTCATTAATGGTAATAATGCCTAAGAAAATGCGTAAATGAAATAATTATTTAAATTATATATTTATAAATACCAATTAAAACATTTAACTTTTGAGTATATAACCTGTGTGAGCATTATAGGACCAATAGTATTTATTTTAAAATGGTTTAATAAATCTTCAGATTTTACTAAACCAATCCTAGTAAATTTTGATGATATTCCAGCGTTGTTAATTAAAACATTAAGACCATTATCCTTCACGATATTTGAAACTTGAGAAGCCAAATTGAAAAATGAACCATGATCAATAAGATCTAAAATAATTTAAATAAAAAAACCTTAATAAATCTTACATTATAAATACAAATAATACAATATTTAAACTAATAAAACAATAATAAACAAAAGTAAAATATAAAATAATTTTATTACTTCCTAGAGTATTTTTTATCGAGAAATAATTTAAAAAAATGATTGTAAAATATATCTTTAATTAAAATTACTTTACAAAAAAACATAAATATAATGATTTTAAAAAACAAAAAATTGCATAGATTAGTTAGAATTTAACTATATGTATCTGATTAAAAACCAAATAATTTTAATTTTAAATTATATTTCATGATTAAATTTATCAAATGCTTCAGTTTAATTAATTTAAACTACATATGTTTATATAAATTTCCAAAGAATGAAAGTTTGGAAAAAAGTCAAAATATAGGAAAAAATAAACAATACAATCAACTTTAAACAGTATGACATGAATTTCAAAGCAAATTATTAGAGATAGCTATATGTTAAACAACTAAACATATTATAACCAATACAAGTAGGTTATACAAAAAAGTAGGGTACACAAAATGCTATTATTCAAAATTAAGGATTACATTTTAGATTCACAGTTAATGATAATTTTAGTTAATTTAGACTAACGATTTTACAATTTCACAAAATGTATAAATATATACTAATATAAACATAATAATTATATTAAATATATTTAATAATAAATATATACTATATAATAATGTATATTCCACAACATAAACTTTAAAAAAAACATTGTTCTACTAGAAGTTCATTTTAATGAATTACTGGAGTGTTATAATTATACATACATTAACATGAACACTACATGAACTTAAAGGTATGGTAAACGTATAGAAACATGTTATTGTAACATAAAATAATAATGTTAAATCATATACAGCTGCAAATTTTGAGCTGTGTTCATAAGTCATGGAAAATGCAGAAAGTGACATTAATTGGAGAAAATAGAACAAAAATTATTGAAGAATTAATAAAAACTAGAATAACCGATTTAAACATCTAGTAATGATAGAACTGAGTTATATATGATATGGAGGCATGATCATACACACAATTAAAAGAAGGAGGTCTTAGTTTATCCAAAAATATCAACAAACCCCTAAAGAAGGAAAAATGTCTAATTTTTTTTGTAGAATTCATTGACTTGAAATTTAACTATATTTATATATATGAAGTCAATAGATATAGTGCAAGAAAAAATAATTTTTAAAGGAAATTAGGGAAAAAGGTAAATAAAAATAAAACAAAATGGAATACCATCTCAAGTACATATGATCAATTACCTACATCTATGTAAATAAATAGGTGATAAAGCAGTCATTTTTTTAAAAATATCTCATAATGTATGCCTATGTAAAAGAATAGGGAAATCATTTTATAGTCACAATGATGTGTCATAATATAGTTTTAAGAATTAATTATTATATAATATCTTATGGTTATTAATTATATTATAAATAAAAAAACATTTTTATATTTATCGCACTTTTTCATAATTAATATTACTATATCTATTTATGTATTAACATTTAAAGTACCTATATTGATATTATATTTTTAACTACAATTAATGCAACTACTTGTTACAAGAATAAAACAATATTGTTTATAGACAATAAATATAACATATTAATTATTTTTTTTATTGATAATATTAATTTAGAAATAGTTTAAGAATAATGATTAATAAGAAAAAGAATAATAATTTCAAACTCGAGGAGGATGTAATAAAAAAAAGTTAAAATAAATTATAAATTTAAGTATGCTATCATTATTTTTATAAAAATTATTAATTCAAAATAAATCTACTTATTTATAGAAATAGTTAAATTATTTACCTGCTTCCAGAATGTGAAGTTGTGAATTACTTTCCAATTGCATTAACTCCTAAAAAATATGAAAAATTAATTCATAACATAATGAACTTATAAGTGCCGCAACTAAGATCTTAGGGCCCCTATGATAAGGTAAGTCTGAAGCCCTAAAACTATTAAACTATTCATAGTTATTTTTTTTTCAATACAGGTTACTTACTACTTACCTATCATTAAACGTGCTATACAATTTTTTCACGCTAAAAATACCCTATTAGATTTACGTAAATTGACGCCTGTGATGGGGCCCTTTTTGGGTTTCAATGTTAGATATCACCATCCAGACCGGTTGTTGTGCCATTTTTGCGTTGTTGCGAACATTAGTCAGATTATTTTGTTCTAGATTCCTATTTAGTTCTTCAAAATAATACAAAAAAACTATTTAAACTTCAAAACTTCAATTTTTTTTTTAATGTCTTAGATCTACCATATTATTTTCTATTTAATATTGAAAGGAATTATATAAATTATATAGATTTTATTATTTTTGTAAATAATTATAATGTAGTTTTCAACTAACTTTTTAGTTTTGCCTTCTAGGAAAGTCAAAAATGTATGGATATTTTAAAATATTTTTTATTTCAAATTTCGATTATTTTAAAGTTTCATCTTAATTTTTAAATAGGTATATGTTTATTGCGCAACAGAATCTATGTAATCTATGTAACGCACAAGGTCTTATAACTGGTTTTTGGAATTGTAATAACTTAGTAATTAAAATCAAATAAATATTAACCTAAAATACATGTAAGAAACATAAATGACGTAACAGTGATGGTAACGTAAATAGTAAAATTTTTTAGAAATACTCAAGCCTCAATTTTAATATATTATAAGAAATAAAGTGGTTAATTTCATGAAGTTTTGGAATATGGTCTGAATATAAATATTTAATTATATAACATATATATATATATTAGGTAGCGGCGGACCCAGGGGAGCAAAGGGGCATTTGCCACCCACCCAAGGCCAAAGTCTATTGTTGCCGCCAGATATTCATTTTTCAATTTTCCAAGAGTTTCATTGATTTCTATACGCGCGTTTGTTGTGTAAAATGTAAACATTATGAAATCTCATGTTCACAGTGATAGACCACTTCGCAAATAAGAAGCGGCGTTTAGAATTTGTTGTTTAAACTTTATACTTTAAATTATTTAATAAATATTGGTTTTTGCTAAATGGTTTATTTAAAAATTTAAACCAGGTCTCATATATATATATAAAAATTTTAATTTAGTTTAATTCATTTTAATTTAATAGTAAAAAAAACTTGTAGTAACATATAATTGTCTCTATAATTTCTTATTAAATATTTTTAAAACTTGCATGTTTGTATCAAAATTGGTCTAATATGCATTTAAATATTAAAAAAAGTTAAATATGTAAAATATGCAACTAAAATTTGTAAATAATCTTGTATGACTATGAAACAAATGTCAAAACTTAGTTATGTTTTGAATGATTATTGAAAAACATGTAAACTCCAAGAAGTTACTAGCTTCTAACTTTAGACTAATATTGAACTAAACTAATGCTGTACATTTTTTTCCACTTCTGCCCCCCCCCCCCAAATTAAGCACTGGATCCACTGATATTAGAATGCAAAAATGAATTAACTAAAAACTATAAACTATATTTAACTGTATATATACCTAATCTTTGTGAGTAGGACTACAAATAAATGAAACCAATAAAAAAAAACTTTAATATTAACAATGACTCAATAACCATATAAAAATACAATGAACGACAGCTTTACAAATAAAAAGATATAATTTAATGATAAAAATAAAGAAGAGTAATTATCAGGCAATTCAAATAATATTGACAAAATTATAAAAAAATAAATAAAAATATGAAAGGAAAAGCGAGGGTTTAACCAATAACACCGAATTATTTCAATGGAAATAAAAATGGCAAACTTTATTTTAAACAATATTTAATGGTAATGCGGGGAGAGAAACAGTCTCGGCGAGAATTTAAGCTAATAGAGGAAACTCGAGTGCACGCTGTACACATTAGGCGAAAAAACGCGAGTGTAGGTACGCAGTACATTCTCGGGTTACAGGCACTCATATTTTTGTGTCAGTACTTCGGTTTACAGTAGTCTGGCATTCATAAACTAGTGTTAGAAAATACTTAATATATATTCATAAACAAATCATATGGGCTTGTAAATATAATTTTCATTGGCTCCTGATCTGACTGAAACTTTTTATTTTTACGCAAATGGCTCTTAAATTTAGCTATTAGCGAGCCCTTTTTTTTTCATTAACTCGGTTACTAAACATACTAGTTTTCCGCATAATCGAACCCATGCATGTTGATTTATTTCCTGTCCTTGTAGTACGAATGCTTCATGTTCCATACAACGGGTTCATTTTGGTATAACTTCAAAAACTTTAATATCAATTTATGGGACCAATCATACATGACGAAAAGCACAACGGAAAAAATAGCGTCGAATATCCTAAAATGTACTAGTATTAACTGGGTGCTCTCGTGATGCCGGTTAACAAACATCAATAATTGGAATAAAAAGGATAAGAAAATTCTTATCTTTGTTCATAAGGAACAGATTATACTCTATTCAAGAATAAATCGGTTTGTATATAGGTACTCGACGTGTGAATGTAATTAAGGAAATATATGGTCAAAGATATGGGTAGGTGAATAGAAAAACCATGGTAAAAACTAACTAGTAGTGGGAAAAGTATGCGCGGTGACATGTTTTTATCCACCGCCTAGTATACTTTTAAATTGAATACAATTATAATTGTATTCAATAATTACCCATTAGGAATTTTAAATAATATTGAAAAAAATTGTACATAGATTAAAATAAAAATATAATATAATAAAAATATTTTATAGAATAATATCTATGTAAAAGATATAACATATACTTAAAAACAACATACTACCGATCTAAATACTATATTTTCTATGTTTATCGTTTTAAAACAATTTCAAGATTAAAAAAAATGTTTTTTATGCAGGCATAATTTAAATTTCCCACTTATAAAATTTCCTCCATGAGCGTTATCATTGTTAGTTCCAAGTCATCGTTAGATAATGACGATGAATAACATCAAGGTATTTCCTTTATTCGGTTTCATTTCATTGGAAATATACACTCTTTTACTCTACACTCAGTAGTCAGTACTCGTAATTGGTAACTGATTAACAATTCAATTCTTAATTAATATTCCATTTTCGTCTAATTTAATTGTGTTATTGTTTACAATTTTTATATTAATATTTATAAAAATTAAAAAGAATTTTTTTACTAGTTTTTATACGTCAATACAATAATTTTATAATGGCTCCTGTTGAACCTAGTGAGTATAATTACCTTAGCTTTTCCTTTATCTCTGCATGTCGCGAATACATTATCCACCTTAAACGATTGATTTGTTAACAAATGTTTCACCAATCCTAGACCTATTCCTCTATTTGCTCCAGTGACTAATATTGAACACATCTTGTTTTTCGCCGATTGAATGAATAAAATATAACTTGTGCTTACAATAGGTAACCATAAAATGGAAACCATTCCATACCAAAGTTACATAATGTTCATGATAGTATTTTTCTCTTGGATTTTTGAAAATAACTTCCCGCACTGATAAATCATGTTTCTTATCAAGCATACATTTCCGTCATTATTCATTTAGAAATTTTTATTGTCAATGAACTAGTTATTACATAATAACTAGTTTTAATTTTCGTCGTAAATATAAAATTTTTTTTAAAATGTTTTTAGCTCGTTCCTTATCAACTAAAATTTTTCAAAATATTGTAGATGTAAAGTCATTAGTAAGCAATAAAAATTACTTATTAAGAAAATTGAGTATGTAAATAGTTAAAACTATTATTTAAACGCTATTAAATATTATGATACTGTATGGCAACAAAATTCAGATTATGTAACATGATGTGTTATATTCATTATTTTTAATAATGTACATTTTTTTTAATATTAATTTAAATGCAAATATTTTGCTTTGAAATCTGTGATTCTTGTACTTTTCCTTGTGTGACTCATCAATTCATGACTAATATATTACATAGTAACATTACTCAAATTTGTTATATTCTGTGTATAACTTATATGAGTCAAATAGATTTACTACGATGTAAATCTATTTTAATCATATAAATCATACATAAAATGAAAAATATGATTCATGTTTATTGTTTTGATATATGTTTCATATGATTAGATTATATTTATTATAAAATAAAATATTTTCATCCTATATATTAAATATAAAAACTCCAAAACATATTACATAATGTATAGTAATATTATTATAAGTTTTAAATATACTTCATTGCAGTCTTTTGATAAAATATATTTTTTTATCCAAAAATTCTTTAAAAATGTGTTATTAAAAAACAAATTATAAACATAATTTTAAACAACATGACCTAAATGATATACCTCAATTAAACAAAATTAATATGTTGACTATAAATTATATGGTAAATTAATAATAATAAAAAGTGTATTGCCTCTCCTGTCGGTAAAAAAATGTACAAATTTAAATTTTTTTACAAGAAATATGTAATATTATATTGCTAATAATGAAATGTATATTATTAAAATATGATATACATTAGTAATGAATTACAATAAAATTTTAGTTTATGAGAATATATAATCTTAAATATGTATATTTTGTAATTTATGTTTATATTTTAGGTACCCAATATGATTTTGATCTTTTAGTAATAGGCGGAGGATCTGGTGGTTTAGCTTGTGCTAAAGAAGCAACAAGTTTTGGGAAAAAAGTTGTTGTTTTAGATTTTGTTATCCCATCAGAGCAAGGAACTACATGGGGCATAGGTGGTACTTGTGTAAATGTGGGTTGTATACCTAAAAAACTAATGCATCAAGCTGCATTATTAGGTGAATCAATTCATGTAAGTCAATAATTACATTTATATTTATTCCAATTTTTTACTTTGTTTAAGTTCTTAATTTTATGTTTTTAAAATTGATTTTATGTATAATTAATAATAATAATTATAGGAAGCTCGTAGTTATGGATGGAATGTACCAGATTCCATTTCTTTTGATTGGGGAACTTTAGTGGATTCTGTACAAAATCATATTAAATCTGTTAATTGGGTTACACGAGTTCAATTAAGAGACAAGTATTTATTATTAATAATTTCTTTCAAATTTCAAATAATTAATTCATTATCAATGATTTTTACAGAAAAATTGAATATGTCAATGGACATGGTGTATTTGAAGATAAACATACAGTTGTAGCAAAGATGAAAGGTGGAAAAGAACGAAGATTAACAGCTAAAGATATTTTAATAGCTGTTGGTGGTCGTCCAAGGTATCCTGATTTTCCAGGATGTAAAGAGTATTGTATTACTAGTGATGATTTATTTTCACTACCTACCCCACCTGGAAATACTTTAGTTATTGGAGCTGGATGTAAGTAATATTATACTTTTTATTTAGTATTTACTACATAATACCTACATTTATTTAATTTAACTTTTTAGACATTGGATTAGAATGTGCAGGGTTTTTAAAAGGTTTGGGATATGAAGCAACTGTTATGGTACGGTCTATGGTTCTTAGAGGTTTTGATAGAGATATGGTAAAATTAGTTCAAGCTGAAATGGAAAGTAAAGGTGTAAGATTTTTCATTGGAAAGAAACCTGTCGAAGTATCCAAGAAACCAAATGGTAAATTATTAGTAACGTGGACTGGTGATGAAGTAAGTAACTATTATGAACTAATGAATTACAACATTTGTTATATAAATTTTGTTTTAGGATGGGCAAGGAGAATTTGACACAGTTCTTGTAGCTACTGGACGTAGACCTCTCTCGGATGAATTAAAATCATCTGTTATTGGATTACATACTCATCCAGAGTCTGGTAAATTTATTGTTCAAAATGAACAGACCAATATTCCCAATATCTATGCAGTTGGTGATGTATTGCATGTAAGTATTGGGCATATAAATTAAATATATTACTTAAATAATCAATATGAAAGTCAAATAAAATAATACTTAAAACCACTAGTACCATCTAATTCATATCTATTTTTATATTTCAAACGTTTTATTGGTTTTCTGATGATTTTTAAATTTGGAGTAAGACTAGATTGTATTAATTTTACTATTGTATGGGTGTTTTTTTATGTGTATAATTACAATTTTACTAGAAGACTTACTCCAATCATCAAATGGAAGGGTGGTTTTGGTTATCAAATATTATCTTGTAAGTATACTTTAAGGTAGTGCTTCCCAAACTTTTTAGATTCAAGGCACCCTTTTTAATCTAAGGTTTTTTCAGGATGCCCTTTTCCAAGCCATAGTATGACTAATCATAAGGAAAATTTTAGACCCGATAATATTTCATGACGACGCGGCGCCCCAGGGCGCCGCGGCACACATTAGGAACCATTAGGAACCGCTGCTTTAAGGGGTCATTTTTTTTATTCGCTCTAAGGTTTTCCAAATAATTGAAAAAAATTATGAAAATTACAAATTTAAGCTCTTTATCTGCTACATTTACAGATTAAGACATATCCATATGCCAACAAATAACATGCTCCATTTTTTTTGCATATTACTCAAAAAAGAAATAATCTTAAACTACTAATATTTTTTTTTAAAAAAAAAATGTGCTTGTAATATATTTATTACATATATTTAAAATTATAGAGTTTCACCTAAATAATGAAAATATGACACTAAGTTTCTGCTAAATTGTTCTTTCTTATAATTATTTATTGTATGTAATACATTTCAATACTATTCAATGTTCACTTTATTTTTCAATGATAAGGAAAGACCTGAGTTAACACCTGTAGCAATTCAAGCTGGAAAACTATTAGCTAGGCGTTTGTATGGTGGCAGTCAAGAATTAATGGATTATGATGATATTGCTACAACCGTTTTTTCTCCTCTTGAATATGGCTGTGTTGGTCTTACAGAAGAAGAAGCAATTAAAAGATATACTGAGGATAATATTGAAGTAAGTTGCATATTTATGAATATACACCTCATTCTTAGGTAAATCATTCTTATTGCAATTATTTATAAACCTGTTTGAATTATAATTATTGTGAAACTGATTTGTATAATTTAGGGTACAAAAAGGTCTGCATATGGCTCACAACACTTTTTTAAATATTTTTTTATTGTAGTATATATTAATTGAAACATATTTTTTTCTATATTGTGTCCTTTACTCATATTACATCAATTACTTACACTTAATTTTTTTTTCCTTGAAAAGAATAATAATGTCATCAACAATCATCCCTTTTCATTAATTTGGTAATATTGCTAATTTTTTTACTATAATTATATTAATTGTTAATTAAATAATTAATTTTAAAATTCAAATAAATAGATTATTTGAATAAATGTATTTGAGATCAATTCATTAGAACTTCTTTAACTTTCAAATGTATGTATAGATATTATGTATTATTAAGAAAGTTGTCTAGTCAATTAGTTGTGATTTTTTTTTTTTTAATTTTTATATGGTTCTAATATTATATTTATTCTTTTACTTCCTATAATTTTATTTATATTTTTATGTGGTAACCTAGGCTCCATATTTTTATAAATATTATATTGTTTAATTATTTAGGTGTATCATGCATATTACAAACCTACAGAGTTTTTTATTCCGCAAAAAAATGTCAAAAATTGTTATTTAAAAGTAATAACTCTGTTAGAAGCTCCACAAAAAGTTTTGGGTATGCATTTTATTGGCCCTCAAGCAGGTGAAGTTATACAAGGTTATGCTGCAGCTATAAAGTAAGTATAGATTTTATATATATATATATATATATATATATATATATATATATATATATATGCATGTATGTATTATTTGTATATTCATTTTGTATGTGATATATTTTTAACAGGGCTGGATTAACTTTTGAACATCTAAAGAATACTGTAGGTATTCACCCTACAATATCTGAAGAATTTACTAGAGTAGGTATTACCAAACGATCTGGCGATGATCCTACCCCACAAAGTTGTTGTAGTTAATCTTTTTTTTTTTCGTGGAGTGCATAATAAACAAAAAATAATAATAGTAGTTTTTCATTCAAATCATTCCTGTGGTAAAGGTATTAACAATTAATTATAGTATATGTATTTGTATCCATTAAACGCAATAAATTTTATTTCAATATTTTACCATATAATATTCTTAATTATTATTATCTTTTAATATTTATAACTATATTAATAAAAGTTATTTACAAAAATAAAATTATCTTATAATTGGAGGACTATAAATAATTTTAAGCAAGTTAGTGCAATATTTTTGATGGAGTTATAAAAAATTTACTGAATTAAATTAATTATTTATTAGGTTTAGTTCTTTAATAACTCGATTAAAGCGTGTATTTTTTTGTTGACTTATTATTATTTATTATTTTTATATTATTATTAATATAATTAATATAATATTCAAAAAGTTATAAAAATCTGGATAGGACAATTCATATTATTATTATTATTATTTTTTTTTTTTTTTATAGAATATTGAAACTTTTCTGGCAATGTATAAAATGTATATATATATTTAATATACAGAATACTCACTGTTTTTAACTCTAAAACTTAATAATAATAATATTTTTTAATTATTTTTATGTATCCTAAACTAAATACATTGACTTATTCAAAATTATAAAAATAATAAATATTACAAAAAAGGAGGATAAATATTAATCATACAAAATACATTGTTCTACTTAAACATTAGATTAATTGGTTTCAAGTTAACTTCATAAATTATATAATATAAAATATTAAAACATAACTAAACAAAGAAATTTAAAGAATTGATAGAAGAAATGAAACATTTAATTTGTTGTTCCAAAATTAAATAAAAACTATTAAGAATAAAAATGATTCATAATTTTATTATCAAAAAATGTATTGCCTGAAAGTACAAATTTACAACTTGAAAAATAATAGAAATGAAAAATATTTAATTGTAACATCAACATAATCTGTAGTTGCAGTAGTATTAGGTTAACCATTGCTTTGGTAGATTGCGATGACGTATTTCAAAATGTATATAAATCGTTAATATAATAAAATTTTTTTTTAAATTCATTCTTTTTGACTAATTACAAACTTATTGAATTATCTTATATTGTTTAGTAGCATATTAAAACAATTAATATATTTTAAATTAAATAACTCATTAATTAGACAAACAAATACCTAATTTAATATTTTGATAGCTTTTCTAACTTAAGAGAAAATTGTAAAGCGAAAAATTAAATATCTAAAATTGTTCAATATTCCTAAGTTTATTATCAAAATGTATCAATAATACTACTCAACTCTTCCAATATTATTGATCGTAATAAAATCAGCATATTTCTTTTGGCCAATGTATTACTAATTGTTTTTCTAAACTATTTCCTGGGCTAATTTAATTATGCCTCAACATCAAATTATTCTTATATTTTTTTATTATGGTATATTATCCAGTACAATAGACTTAAGGTACGGTTTCCAAGCTGCGGCTGGCCGCAACGGCACACGTAATCTGACTGTGCTATTTAAAATTGCGGAGCGTGGTTTCCAACGTGCGATCGACGATTGCGTGATTTAAATAGCTGTTACGGCTCGCGGCTATAGTGGTCTGGTAGTAGTACATTGCGTGAGTCGTATAGTGTTTTATTGTATTTTTTGCATTTTAATTAAAAACTATGTCAAAATCTACATTTTCGTCGAACAATGATGAAGTTTTGGTGGAAGAAGTTGAAAAGCAATCCGTATTGTATGATAGCTCCCACGAATACATAAAGATATTATATTATATTATCAATAACTTCTTCCATCACTATACTTTGTTAACAATTAACAACAAAACTAGTATAATAAATAAATTATTTACCAAAAAACATGTCTGTACTCTACACAATATTAGGGTAAAATGAACTCCGGCCGCAACGTCTAGTCGTATTTAGGAAACCAGTCGGCACGCAACGTTTAGTCGTTACGGCTGAACGTTGCGGCCAGCCGCAGCTTGGAAACCGTACCTTTACACATCAGTGATCATAGGTAAAACTTTTTTATGAAAAATGAGATAAAAATATAATTTAAGCAACACTAAGTTATGGTAATGTATTGATGATACTTTTATTTGTACTCAAAATTAATAGTCATGGACAAAGTAAAAATTATGAATGACAAAAAAAAGTTATCAAAAAAATAGGCCAATAGTTTCAGAGACAGTTGTGTTTCATTCTTTCATGCACAATCCAGACTATTTTTAAAGTAGCTAAATCGTAACTGACGCTGTTCCTGAGATTGGTTGGTGAATGGATTCCGCTGAAATGCTGCGTGTTAAGTTTAATCCTCCGTTTACGATTGAACAATTTGCATAAACATTTTGATAGTGTACCTATGTCAGCGATCCTCAATATTTTTTTTCCATATCCCTAAGCCTAATATTTTGCTAGATTGTATCCCTCATTACAACTTGATCTCTTTTTTACAAAACTACCTACTCTAAACATTTTTAAATAAAAAAATTACCATAATATAATATAATGTTATAATGTTAATATTTTTACATTATGTAATGATATTTACCTATATGTATCTTAACCAAACAAGGGGAAAAAAAGACGGCTTGAAACAAATCGGCCCCCGGAGTTCTCATGTTCTCGCCAGTCCAGCATATGTCTATTTTCTAAACGAATCTCTTTAAATAAACTAAATTCAAATTTTTCCGTCATTATTCAAACATTTTTTACGTGCCTCATAAGATCATCTTGCGCACCCCAGGTTAGGAACCGATAGTATATGAAATGAATTAAGTAGTTTTATTACAGGTGCTGTTCTTGTATGCGGAGTACATATATGAATGTAGACCGCGTATTAGAGCAAAAAAAAAAATTAAATATACAGGGTGGAATTCTATCTCCCATTCATATTTGTATCTGATCAACCAGTTACACTAAATATCATCAGTGGCAGACAGGCCTGACGAGAAGGGGAAGGGAAGATCCCCCGGGAGCGGAATTATTGAGAGGGCCCGGAAATTAGGAACTACATATTATTAAAAATTAAACAATTATTGATAAGAATTTAATGAACACTGCAGAAAAAATTAAGATATACACCTCTGGCTCGGGTTTCTCTCTCTAAGGCCTTCGTAGCAGACTATGCTAATGATAAGGTATTATCTATGGATGATGATCCAATCTTAGCATCAAAAAATCTTCAAACTCATCTGGATTCTATGGAGGACTGGTACATCAAATGGCAATTTAAAATAAACCCTATTAAATTTACTCACACTGCCTTTACTTTGAGACTTACTCCTTCATCAGAAGTTACTCTAAACGGAGTTTTAATTCCTTTCTCCACTACAGTCAAATACCTTGGTCTTAAATTAGATCAGTGGTTCTTAACCGGTGTTAAGCGGAACACTGGTGCTCCATGAATTTGGCTAAAGTGTTCCGCCAAAATTTCAAAATTGGCGAAAAAAAACTATAAAATTATTTTTTATCAAAATTACTGGGATAATTTAATTTTCGGTTTCATCGTTTTCAATAATTGTATTTATTACAACACAATGAATTACATTAGTATTTTTGAGTAAAACCAGAGGTCCAGACTCCCCCCCCCCCCCGAAATTTTCGAAAGTAGAAACATTTTATCGATGAATATAGTTAATTAACTATAAATTGTATTAAATAATAATGTTAGACCCCCCTCCGAAATTTTCCCCCGAAAAAGAGTCTTGATGGATACTATCATACGCTTTCTTGAAGTCCACGAAAAGTGTATGAATCTCTTTATCAAACTCCCAAGATTTTTGCTACAATTGCCTAATTATGAACATCTGGTCCGTCGTGGATCTGTTAGCTCTAAAACCTCCTTGATACTGCCCTATTATTTGATCCGCTTTTTCTTTCATTCTGTCTAAAACAATTCGAGAATAATTTATACGCAACATTGAGTAAGGATATTCTGCGGTAGTTATTGCAATCTTGTTTATCTCCTTTTTTGTGAATTGGGCATACTAGGTACCGCCAATTTCCAATCATCTGGAAGTTTCTCTGTTTACCATACTCTACTAATCACTTGCTAGATTCCCCGTATAACATCTCCTCCCTTTTTTAGGAGTTCTGCTTGAACACAATCCTCCCCTGGGGATTTGTGATTTTTTAATCTATGCACTCGTACCTTTATTTCCTCCTATGTAGGGTATGGGCATTCTTGTGTATTTATGTTCTCAATATTAAAGGGGAACTTTTCGATTGATTCCTCACAGTTTAGTAGTTTGTCAAAATACTTTCTCCATTTTTCAACTATATCTTTTTCTGCAGTTATTAACATTCCATCATCATCCTTGAGAAAACGTTCTTTCTTTTTGAAATCTCCTTTTATGCCATTTACTCTCTTATACATATCCCGGGTTCTATTTAGCCTAAAATCTTGTTCTGCATCTTTCATAATGTTTTGGATATATTTTCTTTTTTCGTATCTTATTATATTATGAACTTCTTTTTTTCGTATACTGAAATCCTCAGTCCTCTCTTCATTGTTCGTGACTTTCAGCCATTTCTTCCGGGCTATCCTTCTCATCTGTACTGCGTCTTCACATATTTTGTTAAACCAGGGTTTTTTCCTCTTTTTCTTTATTCTTATTGTTATTTTTGCAGTTTGTTGTATAGCATTTCTAATTTTGATCCACATTTCATTCACATCTTCTCTGTTTGTTATTTGTTGTACTTTAAGAGTTTCGCAGATTCTTCTTCTATAATCTTTCTGTATATTAACTTTCTCTAATTTCTCAATATCGTTTCTATCTATAGTATTTAACTTGTGTCTGTATTGTTTCTTGAATTCAACTCTTATCCAAATACCTACCAAAAGATGGTCGGAGTCTGCGTCAGCTCCTCTTAATGTTTTTACATGAGTTATACTATTTTTGAACCTGTTGATGATCAGTATATGATCAATCTGATTCTTGTACCTCCCATCTGGTCAAGGGCGCACCCAAGGGGGTGGCCAATGGGCTTTAGCCCCCCCCCCCCCTCCCGAATGGCTAGCCCCAAACATTTTGATAATTTTATTAGGTTTATTGACAATTGACATTTGATTTTAAATTACTATAAAAAAAAATTATCAACTATAGTATATGGAATGAAACAT